TGTGAGAGGATGTAGTGAGCTAATGTCTTCAAATATCTGAGGGAACAGGATGCGAATTAAGTGAGGATTGGAAAGTAATCAAAGTCTCTCTCTCTCTCTCTCTCTCTCTCTCTCTCTCTCTCTCTCTCTCTCTCTCTCATTTGCAGGCGGAAGCACAATACAAGAGTTGATTATGTAAGGACGTCACTGTATAGCCAACACTAGCGGTCATGAAGAAAGTCTCCAATCCACGCTAGGACACCACTACTCTACCCCCGAATACCGTACACCTTTTAGTTACATTCTCAAGTCGTTCGTGGAGATACGCTATCGAAAGCCTTGGCATAATCTCAGCAGTTTTGGGATTCAGAACAACGAACCAGGTTATCGGATTTTTGTGGGTGACTATACCAGGGTAAGATAGACGAGCGTAATAGTTACTTATAATGTAAATAGGAAAAATATAGACATATTAGTTCAATCTCAACATAGCCTATCTACCTACACGTCAAGGAATAAATTAATTACCTATCAAGATTATTAATTATTAAATGTATATATATAAAATTGCGCTGCCATTGCTGTGAACTATTCCAAAATGAGGTATCGTGGAGGGTGACGCTGTGACTCTCTCTGGTCGTCTGGCTGGGGTGAGGCGGTTCATTGTGGGGAAAGTGAGTCAGGTAAGATATTTTTGTCTATCGGTACCAGGTGAGAGGAGGTGTTAATATGAGAGAGAGAGAGAGAGAGAGAGAGAGAGAGAGAGAGAGAGGAGGGGGGTGGGGGGTGTGTGTGTATGTGTCGTCCACAGTTACACCTGCAGCATCACCACCACACCTTTACCATCTACCTACACATCTGCTCCCTTCACTTCCGTTCACCTGGAAGAAACAAGTTTTTTTTCCCCTGTGGGCAATAAAGTGGTTACACACACACAGCACACACACACACACACAGCACACACAGACACACACACCTGACTCACTTGCAGCTGTTTCAGGTGTCAGGTGTATACTACTTTTATAACTACAGGTATACGCTTGTCCATATAACAAGAGGATCATAGAGTATGTTCCTCTTCATATACAATACTGTGGGTTAGCAGATTTATCCAACGCGCGCTCTCGCTCGCTCGCTCTCTCTCTCTCTCTCTCGCTCGCTCTCTCTCTCTCATTGCTCGACCAACACTAGAGCAGGTTCAGATACATTCAGGAGTCAGTGCATGCCCATAACCTACCAACAGTGTTTAACAGAGACGTGACCGACCACCCAAGAGCCGATCAGTGGCGAAGAGAATAAAAGTAAAGGGTTTAAATCTAGAGGATCTTAATATTGTTTGCCACAGTATCATCAGCCATTATTAACCAAAACCTGAGACTAGATTAAGACTCAAATTATCTCTCAAATTCTCCTCGTGTTTCCTCACTTACCTCTGCTTCCCCCTCCCCTCACACCTCCTCCTCCTCCCTCCCACACAACCATTCCCTCCATCTTATAAACTGTATAAGGAGTTTATTTCCATCACAGTGATAATAAAAACAACAATATCTTTACTTACCACTTCAGAGTAGACTGTCAGCAGCGTAGGTCAGGGCGGCTTCCTTTCCTTTCCACCGTCACCGTTCGGCCTAGCCTCTTGGGCGGACAACCAAGTCCTTGTAACGCACTGTTGGCAAGTACTGGGCATGCACTGGCTCCTGAATGTATCTGTACCTGCTCCAGTGTTGGTCAAGTCTGGTTTTGAATAATTTTACACTCGGTACCGTCACAACACCCAGGCAGATTGTTCCAAAAGTTCACAACACTCACTCCAAAAAAAGTTTGCCTTGGCAGTTTCCTGGAGGCTTAACACAGGCCAGCAACATACTGCGTAGATCATAAACTCAGTAATAGACACAGAGAGGAAAGTTAAAGAACTCATAAACCAACATCTATAACCTGGTGATGTAGTTTGTGAGCTGAAACACAGATGGCGGTATGCTAGCCTAAGGGTCTGTAAGCAGCATGGGTTTAGGTAGGCAAAGGAAGGTCACTAGGTTTCTGTGGCCAATTGTACGTCACTGGTCTGTACTACACTACACTATCATACTTGTCTTAAGGTACAAAATGTATCATACCATACATACCATACATACCATACATATCATACATACATACATATAGTTGGTAAGGGGCGGGTGGATAACGGAAAATATTTGTGTTATGCCTCAAATTTCACTATTCTGCCATGAACTTGTTCCCACGCATTATGTTACACTCAGACAAAACTATTATGAAGTCTGTTATTATTAGCATCATATCAAGGGCTCAATGTGTTTATGGGTCTAAAATTGAGTGACATGCAAACTTTTGAATCACTGAGGTTTTGTGCCTGTTAGTTTTAAGGTTTCACTGTTAACATAGCGCAGATTTTTATATTCATGGACACATATTGTAAGTCTTTTAATTACACAGAGATATTATAGCTTCTAAAACGAAGTATCGTGGCATCGTACACCATTTAATAAGAGCAGTTTATTGAAGGAATTAACACTATTTTGTTAATACTCGTAAATTTACTGTTGGAAACCTTCACACGGAGGCAATTTACACACACATACACACACTGGTAGCAGGTCGGGGCATAACACTTAAGTACGCGCTACACTTGCTGACAGAGTTGTTTTGTTGACAAGAAATATTCAAGAGTAATTTTTTGTAAAGGAAACACAAACAAACACACAGATGGTGACGCAATCTTGACGTTAATCAGACAACCGTTAGTGATAATAAATGACTGGAGAAAATATAGAAGAATTAAAGAAGAGAAATTAAAATGAAAGCAAAACAGGAACCGTGGAAAGAGTTACAATATTGACCTCCCACTTTCTGTCTTGTCATGGAAGGTTAAGTCTGGCTGTTGATAATTACCCCCATCATCCACCGTGGTAATGTTGTCACTGGTGGGCCCCTCTGGCAGGTCACATAAGTATCATCTGGTGAAACACATGTCTCATTAAGTTATAAGTTGACTTTATCAAAGGTTATAACTATAGAGGACTCTGAACTCTCGGACTGAAACACCGACTCAGTTTAACACTTCGTCAAAATTACACTGAGACTAGATTCTAAAAAAAAATAATGTCTCTCTGCGGAATATCGAACGTTCGAATCTGTAATACTTGAGACTCAGAAACGTAAAAGACATAGTACCAAAGTGTGATGCTTTGTTTGGTCAAGGGAGGACTGTAACTAACTTCATAGATGAGAAAGCGAAAGTGGTCGAATGAAATATAGCTTCAATGCCTCTTTATGTGTTGAAAGGAAAGGCTTAGTTTACATAGCGGTTATAAATGTTTATCAAAGCCTGCGTAGGTTATGTTAATTAATCTTCTATGTGTAACTACGGCTTAGTGGTTACTGTACGATGGTTCTCAATCACAGGATATCAGACCTTGTGATGATCAAGTGTTGTTATTCACCGCTCAAAGATTCATGATGCCTTTGATCAATTTAGTATATATTAGTATGAGTATGAATGTTTCCTACCCCGTGGAACACCTCTGGGTAACTGAACATACGTGTGTGTTGCATCTAGTGTTATAGTTTAGGTTATCACATCTGCAGTTTCAGATAATAGTCGATAAACAGAACCTTTGATGAAGGGAGGACAGATTGTTAACAACTACAGCACAGTTACACAAGTTGTACCTCCCCTCCCCTCTGTCTTACGCCGGAATTTATCTCCTAGGACATCCCGAAAGAGACAACGGTTAAAAAAACAGGCAGAGAGAATAGAGAGAGAAACAGAGCTAGAATGCATCAAGGTGTAAGTGTGGGCAGCAGGTAGCGAGCCAGGCGGTGAAGGTGGTACCGGGGCTAGGTAAGGGAAGGCGTTGCGTCACCAGTGAACTAGTTTTTGTAGCAGAGGACGAGACTGTGGTGTTCTGTCTACCAGGATCATTCCTCTATCACTGGAGCTGTGTGTGTGTGTGTGTGTGTGTGTGTGTGTGTTTGTTTATCCTGAAAAACATAAAGCTCTAATTAGAACTGTGAATTAAATCTCTTCGCTTGATAACTGGTAAACAGGTAGTCTCTCTCTCTCTCTCTCTTGATGGAGTAAGTAGTATATTATATACATTCACTAGAGAGAGAGAGAGAGAGTGTGTGTGTGTGTGTGTGTGTGTGTGTGTGTGTGTGTGTGTGTGTGTGTGTGTGTGTGTGTACAAATAGGTTATAGACTCCCACATTACATCTTGAAGGTCATATGTGTCAGGGGGGGGGGTTAGGGTCGAAAAATTAAAATTACTCCCCCAAAAAAACTTTTACTTGTTAACTCTGTCAGCCTCTTCTTCCCGGCTCTACCAGCAGATATGATCACCACCTGACAGAAAAGAGGCGCTACCATCCCCTACCAGCTGTATACAGTAAGGAAGATCAATAAGGTGTCAAATATCCAAAGATGCGAAGGTTGTCAACACGAGTAGGAAGAAAACATCCTCTAGATGCTCTAGTAAAACAGCTTTCACTGATATAATTGAACGTTTAATATAGATATAAAACCTACCCGGAAATAGTGTAGCTATAGTGAAGGAAGTTGTTTGACTGTCTGACCTGACCCAGTGAAGTTAGAGTATTTAGCTTATGTATAAAACACATGAATACATAATAATATCTATGTATCTAAGAGTCAGTAATAAGATAGATACAGTGTGTTAAAAAGGTCGGGTGGTTTGGGTCATCTACACCTACGATATATAGAGATCCAGTGATATTTTCTGTAGGTCCATAAAACTGTTAACAGTAATTGTAAACACACAACACTAGTGAACTCACAATTCAGCCCAGTTATTGTGGTTCCTAACTATCTCATCATAAATGTATTAAGACAAGAACTATATCTACCAATGAACGTTTTTATGATAAATAGTAAAATATTTGATCAACACGCCATTAATTTATAGGTGTAAATCTGAATACCGATATGAATAAAACATCAGAAGTGAAAGTTATGTCGAATTTTGCTCAAGTCAGATGACACTATGAGCTTCCATGAGCTAGCAGCTGAATTCTTGGAGACTAAACGCTCATACATCTCGTCAAACTCTGGGTGTTTGAGGTATGTGTGGCTGTGGGTGGACATGGCCGAGTGCATAAACATCACTAAAGTGTTACTCAATTAAAGTTACCACGAATAAAAAAAAAATGTATCCAAGATGAAGGCAGTTATCATAGAACATTTATTGTAAACTCTAATCTGTTACTCGAGGCCTAGAGTCAGTTTGTAACAATTCAGTTGATTGGTTGGCCGACGAACACCCAAAGAATCACGACATTACTTCAATATTCAACCTATCGTATTTTATATTCTGATATTTTAAATAATATGAATATTCTGTGTTGATTTCTGATAATTTCATTTCTATATATTTGTAATGCATATAATATATCATTTTAATTTGGTGTAAATCACTCTTTAACTTCAAACACTTATATTTCTGTCACCGTTAGCTAATATTGTGATGCTCTCGTTACCCCTTAGTTCGGCCGTAGTCACAAATAGATATTTATTCTTCCAATAACTTATAAATATATGTCTTCCAGTCACTTAGTGTATATGAGACATTACGTATAGTGATGGATGGTGAACTTATAGGAGGGTGAACAGTGAAAGTGAGGATAGCCAGCAGTGAACGCGGCCAGTCTTGACGATCACACACTCAGAAGAATAAAAAGATGAGATGTGTGCGTGTTTGGCGGTAACCCATCTTGGCCCTGTACTTTCTAGTGTAGGGAAAACACACACACACACACACACACACACACACACACATATATATATATATATATATATATATATATATATATATATATATATATATATATATATATATATATATACATACATACAACAGTGGGCGGGAAGGAAAGAGAGAGAGAGAGAGAGGGTTTCAGGGCTTCAGAACCCCAAGCAATCCTCGGAACCCCAAGAAGCCTTAGGGATCCCAAGAAGTCACAGGGACCCTAAGCAATCCTCGGGGACCCCAAGAAGCCTCAGGGATCCCAAGAAGTCACAGGGACCCCAGGAATCCTCAGGGACCTCAGGAAGCCACAGGGACCCCAAGCAATCCTCGGGGACCCCGGGAAGCCACAGAGATCCCAAGAAACCTTAGGGACCCCAGGAAACCACAGGGACCCCTTGAAGCCTCAGGGTCCCCAGGAAACCTCAAGGACCCCAGGAAACCACAGGGACCCCCAGGAAGCCACAGGGACCCCAGGAAACCTCAAGGACCCCAGGAAACCACAGAGACCCCAGGAAGCCTTAGGGACCCCAGAAAGCCACAGGGACCCCAGGAAGCCTCAGGGACCCCCAGGAAGCCAGAGAGATTCCAGGAAACCACTGAGACCCCAGGAAGCCTCAGGGACCCCAGGAAGCCTCTGGGACCCCAGGAAGCCACATGGACCCCAGGAAGCCTCTGGGACCCCAGGAAGCCTCAGGGACCCCAGGAAGCCTCAGGGACCCCAAGTAAATCCAAACGATCTCCGAAAGTCAGAGGAACTTACGGGAAAGTGAACGGGTCTTCAGGATGTCAAAGGGAAGACATTTTAATGGTATGTAACCGCCTGGTATTCACTGACCCTGTGATCACTTGCCAATAACCTTTTAGTCTCTTCTTGAAATAGATATTATTCACACTTAGCATTAAATGTTGTCCTGGTCTGTTCAAAGTCATCCACTTGCTCTCACTTTCCGATGTTGTCAGAGGTCTGCGATTTTTATTTGTGTTTGGTGCTCGACGGAAGACTCGACAAATGACTTTCATCAATTTTAAGAGTTGCTCGACCCTGAACTTCTTGAGACATTTTATTTAAAAAGTAAATCCTTCTTTTTCTGTGTTAATGTGGTAATGCGTTGGCTTCAGGGGGTCTCTTGTGACTTCCTAGGAGCCTGATGATTTTTTTTAGGGACCCTGTGGGTTCTTTGGGGTCCAAAGTAGTGTCCAAGGGGTCCCATGGCTTTCCGGAGGTCCCTTTGGCTTCCCATAAGCTATGTAGCTTTCTAAGGGTTTCTATGTCTTCCTTGGGGACCTTATGACTTCCTGGGGACTCTTATGGTTTCCTGGGGACTCTTATGGCTTTCCGAGAGTTCCCGTGGCTTCTTGGGAGTCAAATGGCGTCACCTTAGCCCGGTAGCTTTCTTAGGGTTCTAAAGGTATCTTGGGGCCCTTTATCTCCTATGGGGCCCCAGTGGCTTCTATAGGATCCATGAACCTTCTGGGGAGGGGGGGGGGGCTGTAGCTTCCTGCGGCCTTGAGGTCCTTAAGAGTCCTTGTCTCAAATGTATGGGATCACAGGTATTACACGATCTTCTTTTGTTCCTGAGGTGTCTCGGAGAGGGTCATAAATTATGTCTATTAGTTTTCTCATTTCCAAAGCAATTTTTGTAATGTGAGACAAACTTGACAAACTTCCTGAGTCATGTGGTTGACAATTAGACTATAACTGAATCCGAAACTCAAGGGAGGTACGTTCATCAATTGGTTCTTTTAATTAGAGATATGAGAACGTTTCTAACTATTAATCAACAGAGGAGAATGGAGACGAGAGTTATTCTAAAACTCAAATGTAGCTAGACATATTAGGTAAAAAATCGTACAAATATTTGGAAATCCAGTTTTTGTTGGAGATGAAAAATAGTGCTGGTATCCTCGTGCCCCTAGCCACCACCTCCTCCTGGATCACCCTTTCCCGCTGCGTTGAAATTCCCCGCCAAACATCGCCGGAGTTACGGTAAGTGTCTTGAGCGCAGCGGCCGGGACGGTACACGCTGATGAAACGGAGAGTGAATGTGCAGGAAGTAGACTGTGGCCCAGATACCAGCTACCTCTACCACTACTACCACATTACTACCACTACTACTACCATTATTATCTCTACGAACATACTACTACCACTACCAACTACTACTACCACCACCACCACCTTTCTCCCCTGTAATAATAACAAAGGTAACATAGGTGTGAAAAGTAATATTAATCTGTAGAAAATATTACAGTAAAAGAATATCGTGGAGGAGGCGCTGTAGTAGGGGCAGGCGTATACAGTCCCGCCCTCAGTGGTAGGCGCCGCCCGTCTCAGCGTCAGCCGCACGGACAGACAAACCTAAGACTTTCGCGCATGTGCCCTTGTGACGTCGCAGGTCACCGAGGGTACATAAGGAGGGCTGGAAGCGCGGGCGTGGCAGTCGCGTTGTGTTCGTGACGCGGCGTAGTCGACATGAGATTATCTCTCCTGGTAAGCTCCAGTTGTGTGTTCAAGTGGACGAGTGAACAATAGAAACGTCCTTCAGTTCTCGTGAGAATATTTATATGAAAGACTCAGTAAAGTTATAATGTTTTCATATTTTCGTTCATTTTGATCACTTTCCCGTGTGGTGCGTCACGTGCAAGATTTCGCTCGAGTTTCGGGAATTACCACTGCATGATCATGGCCAACTCACCACGCATGTTACTCACTGTCATGCACCATAATAACGTTCTCCACCGTCATCCTCATAGCGGTGTGTGGAGGCTCATATTGTATCACATAACACCGGGTCGTAGTGGCCGCTATCATCGCTACCGGGCAGCTTATCAAGTCACATCAACGACGCCAGGATAGACTTACCTTTAGCTGAAGTTACTTAGTAAAATAAATTACAGCACAGCGAAATCTATTCAATAAGTCCTGAGCATCTCCCCTTTTTTCTTTCTTTCTGTCTGTCTGTCTCTGTCTCTCTCTCTCTCTCTCTGTCTCTCTCTCTCTCTCTCTCTGTCTGTCTCTCTCTCTCTCTCTCTGTCTGTCTCTCTCCCTCTCTCTCTTTGTCTGTCTCTGTCTCTCTCTTTGTTTTGGATAAATCTAGTAGAGTAGATATGAGGGTCTTTTACGGTCTGATTACAACCCACATCAAAATGACTCACTCTTCCACTCCTGAATCAACAACATGTCAGCACTTATTACGATACATCTCTCTCAAGTGTTTAGATTCCCAACTAAATAAAAAAAAAAAAACCCTGAAGTCTAAGGCAAAGAGTTCTCATCACCTTGAAAATGAAACCTTATTATTAAAGTGGGTGTAGAGGGAGAGTGTACTGGGGTGTCGTAATCAATGTAGAATTAAACTTATTTCTTATTTCCCTCTTCTTCCCCCCGGCAGTCATCCACAGTACACACGTCATTAGTAAGAGACTAAGACTTTTATTGGATTACCTGACGATTAGAAACTCTAGCTTATTTCTCCTGATAAGTGAACACCCTAATTTTACCTGTGGGGGTTAGGTTAGTTTTAATTATGTTGGCGTTAATTAGGTTACCTTTAGGTTAGGTTAGCATTAATTTGGTTTGGTTAGTGTTAGGTGGATGGTCATCATGTGAAAAAGAAAAGGTCTGGGTGTCTAATCTTCAGGTGAGCCCATAAAACTCTCAAACTTGTATATCCGCCACAACACTGACTCACTCGGGGACCTTATGTTATGATTGATGGCTTCTTCTCGTCAGCCTTCAATTGCACTGTTATGAGTCCTACTTGAGAGTGATGTGCGCGAGTGTGTGTGTGTGTGTGTCCGGGTCCTCAAGGCTGAACTAACTCACCATTGTCGTTGTGTTATGAGGTCTTGGTGACTGAGTTTTACTGTGAGTGGTCTTGGTGAGGAAGTATTAGTAATGGTTGGAGTGAGAAGGAACAGGTCACAGAACTCATACCCTCCCTCGACTGAGACCTTATCGACCAGCCAGACAGTTTACAGACGTGGTAAAGGTGTAACACGAGACAATAGGTAACCTGCACCACACTACTTCAACCTTGTTTACAATCCTTGACTGAGATTTATCCGATAAGGTCACCAGTGATCAAGAGAGGTCAAGTACAGCAGGTCTTCCGTGTTTTATGTCCACGGAATGACCTCTTTAATGTTACTCACAAAGAAATAGCAGGCACATCATTGGAGGTCATGCTTAATTAGTTATCTCAGAGGAAAGAAACTGAGGTTGTTTAAAGATTAGACAACGCAGTTTACCTCACCTGGAGATTAACCACCCAAACGCACCTGGAGGGTTAAGTTAGGTTATGTTAATCTTCAGGTGAAATAAGTTTGGTGTCTAAGCTCCAGGTGATTCAAAATATGTTATTCGTGTATGGGCAATGTGACAATAATATGTAGACTTGTGTGTGTGTGTGTGTGTGTGTGTGTGTGTAGATGGAGTGTGGCAGGAGGCAGTAAGACGCCCCACACGGCAACAGCTCTCACCTTCAGTGTCACACAGAGGGCGAGGAGCCTTACGCATTAGCCCAACTGAGTGCAGGTCATTTGTAATGGCCCACATCAAGGCCTGGTGGGCGAAAATATAATAAGATAATGATAATAATTATGATGATAATAATAATAATAATAATAAAATTAATAAAAATATATAAAAATAAATAACAAGAAAATAATAATAATATTAATAACAGTCATAAATAAAATAAAAATATAAAAAATCAAGAGTAAGAAATTATATATGTATGTTGTGTTGTCAATAGTAAGAGAAACAATTGAGACCCTGCAATTGTGTGTAAATGAGGCAGAAAATCAGATCAGCAACCTGGGACTTGGTCACTATTTTCGTAATGCCATATGGCAGCAGGGTCTACCATTAGACAATACATTATGCTTCCAATATCTTCCCAGGCGGCAGTACCTCCCTGTTTGATGGCTGCCCACTACCTGCTGACCCGCCTATCCATAAACCCTTCAAACCACTTTTTTCATGGAGACGCCACTGACATACGCACACACACACGACAAAACCATGAGGGTTTTGTCGTGTGGATAATGGCCTTGTTTTGTTTTGCTTTTTGTCTGCACCAATCAATAGGGAGTGATCATTCTAGCCTTGTATTTTGTCATCTAATTCGTCCAGACAAGTCAACTAACTTCCCTTTCATATCTGATTTAGATATTTTAACTTGTGTTTATGTTTGACTATTTACTTCTATAATGTAATAATTACGAACAAAAATCAAGAATGTTGTGAGTTATAATGAACCGCTGTGGTTGTTGTTGTTGTGGTCACTCATAGTAGTTCTTTAATAAACTAAAGCTCCTCTATCTCGCGCCAGGTAAACGAGACTGAATCAGGCGGCCAGTCAATCATTATAAAGGAGTCAAACACACTACAATTTCTATATAAACAGAACCTGGGAGATTTTCTTTAACTTCCTACACTCAGTAAGCGTTATCAAAAAGTGGAGCCCTGGATTGTGAAAACCTGGAACAAAGTTAGGACAAAAACACGACTAATGAGTAAAAACTATGGGAGTCTCACAAAGTGCAGGAACAACCAACTCCAATATCCATTGTAGTAGTAAACCAAAGGAGTATCGCCCACATACCTGGAGTTCTGTTTGGGGACAAGTTAACGTTGATAATGGAAGAGTTTTGTCGCCGAGAGAAGGCTGTGTCACCCAGGCACTTGTGTTGTTACGGTCTCCAGCCTCACTAGCTTGATAAACGTACTTAAGCTCTTGTTATACGTGTACAGCTGCAGCTCGCTTGTGTAAACTTCTGCCGACGCGGGGGACATACAAGAGTGTTATACCAAGTTTGAATCTTAGCTATTTTTTATGCTTTGGCTCGGACTTTAAACAAACAATGGCATTATGGTGGCTGATGATCATTTGTCTTAGTCTCATAGTTCAAGAACCAACGATGTCAAAGATTTATCTTCTCTACTAATGAGAAATCTTGGAGCAACAAAAACCAGAGCACTGGGAAATCGGTTACGTATTTGTTTGCACTATGGACATGTAAATGACGAGGCCATTGTTCACTACAAGTTTACACGTGTTGTCTACAGTCATGATAAGTCCAGTATAAACTAAAACTCCTTCTTTGGTGTATTAATTTAGTTTCCATAGGTTTCACCAAAAATCAGAATGTACTTGAAACACTTAGGCTTGGGAGAGGCAAGAGGAGAGCTCGGGTATGGAGGAAAGCCAGGCAGGGTGGAAGCTCTGGTCAAAACAGCGCCTAACTCCCGCCAATACAATCCTCACACATGGTAATTTCTTCCCATTCTTCTTCCGTCCCAACACTCCTCTACCAGTTAATACTTTCTTAACTATTCGTTCTACTTGCTTCTTATATTCATGTAAGCAATACCTGTCTCCAGTCAATCATTTGTCTTCACCTCGACTCGCCTATGTACAGCTCTTCCGTGTCAGTGTTCACCTTCTCACACACTTCCTTCTTTGACATTATTCTTCATTTATAAATTAGCGCCTTCCTCTGGCTTGCATCACTTCCAGTCGTGTTTCTGCCCTTGTGCACCTTCCTCCCTGCCTCACCCCACCCCATCCTGCCCCGCGCCGACCCCTCACCCCTGTCCTTCACTCCCTCTTGCGCTGTTTCTCTGCTGTATCCCTCCCTGATTCGCTCCTCCTACCCTGTGCTCCAACACCTCCCTGACTCACCCTTCCACGCCTCAGCTCTCACCCTTACCATATCTCCCTACCTTCAACTCTCCTTCTTAAGCATTATGCCTCCCCCTCACGCACGCTGTCTCTGTTTTTAATCTAGTATCCCCTGGAGCGAGGCGACCCGCACCACCCCACTAACATTTGTGCGCTACGGCAGCCAAGGACGTCCTGCCACCAACAGTAGACACTCCAGGCAGGCCGGACGAGCAAAAACTGCCCCGGTCTCCTCTTTTGGACATCGTGAGGGACATGCTCTGTGTCCTTGACGAATTCCTACGCAGAACACCGAATCAGTCGAAATCCGGCCACCCATAGTTGTCGCTATTTTTCGGTAAAACCCTGACTTTGTGCAGAATGTTTCACACAGGTAACTGAGTTTAGATGTTGAACTATTTTTTTGTGTGCTTTCTCCTCTTGTAATGAAGTGCATTGTAGTCTCAACCCTATCTTGACTGGCACCGACACAAGCAGCATTTAGCGACAGCGTGCGGAGTATAAATAATGAGAGAAATACGTCGCTTCTTACCCAATGAGCATTCTTCTGGTCAGATGTAGGGCGCCGTTTTTAACAAGTAATTGGTAACTCTTGTTGAAAGACCAGTGTATCATTTGTTACACTCGTGTACTTTCATCGTCAAGAACCTCTAACATATGCAGGAATAAAATTTTATCTTCCAAAGCCTGGAACGTAACCACTAATGCGATGCTATGTTTGAGAGTTTGTTAATTTACGTGTTAGGAATGAGGTCACTGGTGTAATGGTGGTGGTCCCTGTGGGGGAGGCGGCGGCGGCTGTGTTGACCAATTGGTGATAACCATGTTTGTGGTACTGCCCCCCCCCCCCGCACCATTACCTCCCCACGCTAGTTACTACACACCACAACGTTAAAAGCTTTCCGTTGTTCAGTAGTTGAATATCATATAACAGAGATTATTTCTCCGTCACTTGGAAGTACAGTACATAATTATAGCCTTGAAACACGAAAGCTACGTTATTTATTATGCCTGTACACACCATTTGATTTTATTGGTTAAAGGCTTAAGGTTTTCTGAATAAATTAAACATGATACAGACCACAACACGGTACACCCACCATTAGTTCCCGCCAATATTACACAGCCGACAACCCCCCCAGTGGCTTCATCGCTAGACTTTCTACGCCAATTTTTAGACGCGTGCCTTGCCTCTCCTCCCTCAGTCATAAAAGGCCACAGTGAGGGTACTCTAGGCATGGTTTTTTTAGTATCCTGAGTAAAAGTGACGACCACAACCGGTGACTGCTGACGGTAGAGGTGTGGCCACGTCTCCCCGACACTTTCTACCGACTTTTTGTGAGGTCATTTTTCTCCCCAAGTATTCAGATGTCTTAGACGGTGTTAGGGGCCGCCTCTATGTTACACGACCTGGTTCATGTGACGTAAGACAAATAGTTGATTACATAGTTGGTAACGAGATACTGATCGACTTGTTTTTACATTATCAATGAGTTTCTTTTCGTTTTTTGCTTGTCTTCTTCATTCTTGAATTTTTATTAAATTTTATGATTATATTCTTTATATTATTGTTTTTTCTTGCCACCATCAACACCCTTGTTACAACTACAACTACTTCTACTGATACTACTACGACTACAACTATTACTACTACTACTATTACTACAACTATTACTACTACTACTACTACTTTTTCATTGGCCTTCAGCCTCCCCTAATAGCCACACCTTCGCCGCCATTAAATATCATAATACATAAGTAGTTACCCTAGCTGTGTTGAGTTAGTTGAGCCGCAGATCTATGCGGCCTTCAGTGATTGTTGCCTCATAGTCAATATCTGCAACCGTTGTCGGCTTTGGGACCGAAGATCTCGTTCCATTGAGGCAGAGCAAAGCAGACCTAAGCAGAGAGAACGAAAGTCGACATCTCAACCAGGCTGTAACGTAACTTCAGGGCTGCTGCTGCTACTACTACTACTACTACTACTACTACTACTACTAATATCATTATTTCTTTCTTGCTGCTTATATTGGTGCCTTTTTCGTCATCATCATCATCATCATTATCTCCAATTTGATAGTGTCTGGATACCGAGTATACAGTGTACAGTGCAATATGACAATATGCAGTGTGACAGTGTATGGTGTAAGAGTATACAGTGTACAGTGTGACAGTGTACAGCGAGTGTACATTGACAGTATACAATTCGACAGTGTACAGTGCAACAGTGTGCAGCATGATAGTGTACAGTGTAAGAGTGTGCAGTGTAACAGTGTAATTTGTAACAGGGGACAGTATGTCAGTGTAAAAATTTAGTATAACAGTATACATTATGATAGTACAGAGAGTACGAGTGTATAGCGTGATAGTGTACTGTAATGACAGTGTCCAATGTGACAATGTAATGGTATTACAATGTAACAGTGGCAGTTTGTAGTGTACCAGTGTACAGTTGGCTCCATTTATGACTGGTACAGTAACTGGCATGTTTTGTGAGATGTGGCACCACTGTTTGTTTACATCGAAGTAAATCTAGCAGAATGGGCAGAACTACCCCTCGCTATAGTAACCAGACCAAGGATGCTAAATAAACAGTCCTCCTCTCCTTCTGTCTGTGAATGCTCGCGTTTCCTGAATGGTTAAAGTTCTAATATAGATTACCAAGAAGAACGTCACTGGCTCCTGTTTGTGGTCTGGTGGGCGGCGGTGTCACATCTCACTGCACCCGTTATAAATGGAGCCAACTGTATTTCACGGTTAACATCAGGAAATATTTCATCAGAGTCATGTGCCTGTGTGACGTGTTTGTGAGGTGTTGGGGGGATGTGAGCTGTGGCTGGTGAGAGTGAGGGACAAGGTGTGGCTGGCAGGAGGGAAAAGCAGCGAAGTGAAACAGACGCGAGAAACCGGATATTAAATATAAGATAGACAGAAAAATTGTGTAACGGACGTGGGAAAAAATTAATATTGGATTACCTGGAGATTAACCGACCTAATGCTACCTGGAAGGGCGAGGTTAGGTTGGTTAAGGTGGTTAATCTTCAGATGATTATAAGCTAGGGTGTCGAATCATCTGGTAATCCGAGGTTTACCGAAATGAATGAAGCAAGAACAAGAGTAATAGTAGTGATGATGATCTATTAGTCCTAGCGAGAAGGAGGAGGAGAGACAAGGAGATGTTATCAAAGGTGTATCTGAACTAATAGGATCACTAAAATGTTTCTGTAGTACCCATTTATAGACGAGGTCCCTGGAGGTACCACAACAGTACCATAACAGTAGCAGCCGGGCAGTGGTGGGGAAGTAAACCAGTACGTCACTTTCCCTCACGTACCCAGAATGACAGTGTCGAGGGGAGGGGATGACCTTGTGTGTGAGAGAGAAACACACACACACACACACACATTTCAAGAGGTGTTTAGAATTATGTATATTAAATACTGAAGGAACATGTTTCTGACCTTTCGTTCGTACAGTAAACAAAATCCCCCCCTACAACACCCACACCCTCCCCTACCTTCTCCAATCCACCACAACAACCACACCCTCCCCTACCTTCCCCACCACCACACCAACCACACCCTCCTTCCTCCCCTTGCAACCTAGCTCCCACCCCCAACACCAATCCCCTGTGCCCTTAATAACCCCCCCCACCTTCCTCTACCAGCAGTAACCCTCTTTCCTCCTGTCCACATTAACCCACACCCCCTTTACCCTTGTGGGCCCATAATAACCTCACCTGACCTCGCTCCCAATAACACCCAACCCTCTCTTCGTCTTTATCCCTTTACCCTTAGCCCATAATAAAATCGCTCTCCTTTCTCCTCAGTCCCCCCCTCCTTCCTCCCTTCCCCCTCACACATACCTTACCTACCCTCCCTCCCTCCCCCTACTTAAACCCTGCACTCCTTACCTCCACCCCTCGACCTTGAAGGCCCGCTAACCACGCCCGACACACACACACACACGAAGCTGACTCTGGAATTCCTCCCTCTCAGTTCTGGTAATCCTCTTAACTATTTATTCATATCAGAGTTATTTCAACACCGAACCGTATGTTACCACAGCTCGGCTAGTGTAGGGTAGGTTAGGTTAGGTTAGGTGCTATAATTAAACTGGAATTTTGTAAACATGATCAGAAAATGATATCTGTTGTTGAGACGCGAACGCCGACCTATGACCTTAGAGGCGAAGTAGGTGAGGAAGGGAACCAGAAGAGGGGGGGAGGGTGATGACAGGGGAAGGAGAGAGGGTGATTTTCTGTGTGTGTCTTAAACTGAATATGTCATCATGTGCAGTAACCAAGAAGATGTTCTCCGTTCAGCGCGGTTAATGGGCTGAAAGAAAACGCGCGTTTCTGAACGATTTTTTTTATCTTGAACGTAAAAAAAATTACAACGTGTGACTTGCAGCATTAAATATAATTAATATTAGATTAAATGAAAGTGACACTTATGTTGAAGGATAGCAGGTAGGACAGCTTTGGTAGTTGGAAGATCGAGACCAGTACCTTCTGCAGGAGTCAGTGAGTGGAAGTTTTTACCCAGTACGATGCAACCATGAGGCACATCGCACCTCTCACACTTGTACAGCCCCGTTAGCGAGTGTACACTATACCGTTACAAGACCGCCAATTAATTGAAAATGTTAATTAATATGAAAATCACATTAAAGAGAAGGTGAGGTAAAGTAAGCGTTGTTCAGCCGTCTTTTCCCTTCCTCATGTACTTAAACTTTTCCTTTATATTCCAGCATTAGTAGAACTTAATTGTCAACTTTTAAATTGCTCTTCAATAAACACCTACTCATAAATGCTCAGATAAATGAATCGGCACCCATGGTGTCATAAATAACTCACATTTGCTTTTTCAATCATAGCAGACAAAATAGCTTAGCCATCAATGTCGTAAAGGATGTTACATTATGCAGGAGAATGGTCGACAAATAATACTTACTATACTGTAAGTTATAAAATGTGTTAACTGTTTACATTCTATGTCGCAGATACTGCTAGCGGTGGCGGCAGTGGTCGTAGTGTCCGGCCAAGACCTAACCAGGAGACAGAAGGCCCGAGCCAGGTTCCGCGCCCTGGCTGACGCTGCTCGCAATGGTGACCAGTCAGCCCAGCAAATTCTACAGTCACGACGTCGTTCCCGACCTCGCCAGCATGACGAGAGTAGGACATCACAATTCAATGATGCCGAACCTGACCCAGTTACAGAACCCCCTACCACTCTAGCTCCCGCACGCGTCAGGATACCATTGCGTCGCACAAGTGTTCGTATACCTCGACCTGTCTCCGTCGGGAGTAGGACATCACAATTCAATGATGCCGAACCTGACCCAGTTACAGAACCCCCTACCACTCTAGCTCCCGCACGCGTCAGGATACCATTGCGTCGCACACGTGTTCGTATACCTCGACCTGTCTCCGTCGGGAGTAGGTCATCACAATTCAATGATGCCGAACCTGACCCAGTTACAGAACCCCCTACCACTCTAGCTCCCGCACGCGTCAGGATACCATCGCGTCGCACAAGGGTTCGTATACCGCAACCTGTCTCCGTGGAACCCACCACTTTCCATCCTCCAGCTGTGTTCCCACCAACACCTGCCCCAGCTCCAGTGACTCTTGTACCTGAGGTCATCCAGGTCACCGACCCAGTCACTGAGGAGCCTGTGTTCCCAACAGAACCCCCGACAGCGGCGCCCGTGTTCCAGATCCAAAACACACCAGCGTCAGTCAGGACTCGACAAAGGATACAGCCTCTGCGACCCATACCAGCTCCCCAACAACAGCGCGTGCGATCCAGACCAGCCTTTGAGCAACCTCAGGTATTAAACTTCGATGTACAGCCCGAGAAAAATGAGCCCGTGTTCCAAAACACGCCAGCGCCAGTCAGGACTCGACAAAGGACGCCTCTGCGACCCATACCAGCTCCCCAACAACAGCGCGTGCGATCCAGACCAGCCTTTGAGCAACCTCAGGCATTGAACTTCGATGTACAGCCCGAGAAAGAGGAGCCAGTGTTCCAAAACACGCCAGCGTCAGTCAGGACTCGACAAAGGACGCCTCTGCGACCCATACCAGCTCCCCAACAACAGCTCGTGCGATCCAGACCAGCCTTTGAGCAACCTCAGGCATTGAACTTCGATGTACAGCCCGAGAAAAATGAGCCGGTGTTCCAAAACACGCCAGCGCCAGTCAGGACTCGACAAAGGACGCCTCTGCGACCCATACCAGCTCCCCAACAACAGCTCGTGCGATCCAGACCAGCCTTTGAGCAACCTCAGGCATTGAACTTCGATGTACAGCCCGAGAAAAATGAGCCGGTGTTCCAAAACACGCCAGCGCCAGTCAGGACTCGACAAAGGACGCCTCTGCGACCCATACCAGCTCCCCAACAACAGCTCGTGCGATCCAGACCAGCCTTTGAGCAACCTCAGGTATTGAACTTCGATGTACAGCCCGAGATAGAGAAGCCTGTGTTCCAAAACACGCCAGTGCCAGCCAGGTCTCGGCAGTTACTACGAAGTCAGCGACCCCAACCTACCTTTGAACGGTCTCAGGCATCAAACTTCGATTTAGAGCCCCATCGAGCCCTCAACACCGGCTTGGAAGTGGATAATCGCTCTGAGCACATCATCCCGCGACGTGGAACTACTGAGGCTCCTGTTGAAACCATCCGCCGTTTTGCGTACTTTGACGAAGGGGGTAACTACATATTTGGTTATGAGGCAGCTGATGGTTCCTTCAAGGAAGAAAAGCGAGGATTGGATTGTATTGTTACTGGTAAGTATGGGTACGTCGACCCCGAGGGCACCCGTCGAGAGTTCTCCTACACATCCGGCAACAGGTGTGATCCCAATGCAGTGGTTGACCCGGACCTCCAAGAAGTACCCGATCTACCACCAAACGACCAGTTCCTTCACCAGACAGTAGAGCAACGTCTAAGTGAAGCAGAACTAAACGAACTACAATTCAATCGTCATCGTCGTCCCTTGAAGCAGCCACAGCCACAGGAACAGTCACTGGTACAACGGCCACATCGTCAGCGGGGACAACAACAAGTACAGCAAACAATAAAAAGTCACAACCTTCGTCGGCAACCGGCCAGTAATATCCTGCGTACCGCCACGCAAACTGTTCAACGACAAGAACCACAGCAAAATCAGGGCTTTGAACCTGTTGCAGCCACACCAGCACCTCATTCTCGCTTCACTACTCCAGCTTCTTTCAACCAGTTCAAACGTCCTTCATTCTCAAGACCACAGACAGTTAGGGTCCAAGAGGAACCGTCTGTACAGCAAGTGTCAAGACCAGCACCAACACCAACACCACAACCAAAACCAGTTGTAGAAACAAAACCACCGCCAAAGGTAGTGAAGACACCCGCACCTCATCTATTTGCCGAGAGACCAAAGCCTAAACCCGTTTCTTTTGATTTTGACAGAGAGTTCAGAAACCTCTTTACTCACTTCGGCGCTTCACAACAGAACACGAACAGACCATTCTTCACGGCACCAACTACAACCCCAACACGACCCCCAACACGACCCCCAACACGACCCCCTCCCCCTCCTCCTCCCCCCAGTTCAACGTCTGCACCTACTACTAGATCTAGTCCTCCTCCCACCTCTAGACCCACTCAACCTCCGTCCTTCCCACCAGTCACAGCTGCTCCAGTTACCTCTCGGCCACCACCTCTTGATGATGGGTCCAGCACACTGGGAGAAGGTGGAGGTGCTCACCAACTAGTGTTCGACCGTGCGACTGGTACTTTCAAAACTGTTTTTGTTAAATCACCGCCGCGTCCTAGTGTATCCACTCCAGTCCACAATCCATTCCTCCCAGCAACATCAGCTCCCTCAGCAGGTGTCCCCCTCCCACCACCCAACAGACCAGTAGGGTTCAATCCTCTTCCTCCTGTTCCTACCGGAGGTCTCGTCATTAACCAGCCCGGCCGCTCACCTGCCACAGACGAGTTTGATAAGTTCTTTTCCCAGTTCAACCTCAGATTCTAATAGGCAGTTGTTAATACCGGATTGAAGTTAGAAGAGAGTACCGGAGATGTGTCTCCTTAAAATTATACAAATATTAATTATAAGGCTTAGTTTACCTTCGACATGCTGTTCAAACAATTTGCCAGATGCTTACTCATAAATAATAAGATTTATAAATAATTGCTCTCTGTCTCTTTCTGTTAATCATCAATCTAGGACTTCTTTTCTGTTAATTTATGAAATACTGTAACATTTCACTTCTTCATTTTACAACTGCTAAGAAAAACTGGTTGTAATCAAAGACCGTGATCCAAATAACTTTTACTTTTGTCTAAGCACCATGGGGGCCACGGGTGGTCTGGGTGGTGGTGAGGCTTCGCCTGTAGTTTTGCTGTTTACAGTAGCCTCACGCCTCACTGGCCTAGTTACGTGGTGACCGTTAGACTTTGCACACCTGGGCTAAGCTGAGACTCTCAGCCATGCTGCACAAGTCGCTTGAGATGTGTTTTGTCCCGCCTTATCATTTGAAGAATATGAAATGTAAATTCTAGTACGTAGATGGAGAAAGAACATTTTTCTTGCCGGCTACAGCCAAGGTTAAAGACATTAGTACCAGTCGAGAGCTTCTCCCTCTAGCAAGGACCAGAATCATACACTTATATTCAGTGTTATCTTTTTTATTATTATTATATTATTATTATTATTCTGTTTTAACATATAAAACGATTGCCTCTGCTTTATCTGTCCAGTATCGTGCAATGTTGAATGCTTGCATATCGCTAGCTGTAGAATACACTGTTGCTGTAAATACTTTGCTTATTCACAAGACACTAGCCTTTATACTACCTCATCACAAAGGCAACATCGCCTCTTCACAATGTTCCGCCCTTGCCTGTACGTCCCTTGATCCACATATTCTCGGCCCAGTAGTCACACTTGGTGCATCTGGCGATCTGCTCACATCCTCATGCTCGTGTACTCTCGGACAGTAGGAGAAAATCTTATCTACAGAGATAAAAGTGCAGCTAGATCATTCTAAGATTCTATTGAGTAAAAATCAAGAAAAAATAAAAAGTGGTCGATCTAAGGAACGACAGGATCCCCAACCTTGGTGGGTCTCACAGGGCATTACACCCATGCCAGAGGCGCTGCTGGTACGAGGCTATAATGTGAGTTAGTAAGCCTCTCTCTGCCTCCTTTTGTTATGGCTTCAATTGTGTTTTACCAAACCAAAGATCCTGGACAAGAAAAGACAAAGATATCGATAGAAACTTGTGAAAACAGTAAACATCAAACTGTTCACAAGGAAGAAAGTGCTACATCAATTCCTAAAATAAAAGTGTGTTACTAAGTGCCCACATCTCTTAGTTTAACTGGCAGGAGTTAAACGTTACTTTGCTCTGTCCTGAATATAAACACAGTAACACGAAACTATGTGAACAGATAAATAAAACATAAATCAGTGTCAATTACTACTCCGTTTAGGTTACGGACACACGTTTTATTAATAGAAAGTGACTATCCTCGTATACCCTTGTACAGTATAAAGCGGACGAGTCGGTGAAGGTATCAGAGCACACAGTCATCCATGTTTTTCCTAATCTCCCCGAGTAAAGTATGGTCGGTGAAGGAAACGCTATTCCCTCCCATCGGGCCTCTACCAGCTATGATGTACATACATACATACATACATATACTATACTGTATTATATACACATGCCAGATTCACTCAACAGTGGTAATGTGTTGATAGAATCTTCTATGTCTCACTGTAAAAAATGAAGAGAGCACAATTTCATTTTTCCCGTGTCAGCTTCTGGTCTAATATACTTTTGCAAAACAACGAACAAATATGAACGAATATGACATGTACGTGTAAATAAATGTATCATAAGTTTCATATTATATTACATATCTGAAATAAAATATAAATATTCTTCTCTATTCTTGTTTTATATAAATATTCCTCTGCATTTACCTACATTAACAACTATTGGATGGTATCCCAGACTCCACTTACATGATCCTGTGAGACTTTAAATGAGGATGAACCCTAGGTAATTAGGCGCTGACCTACACCAAGGATTCTGACACTGTAGGAGGATGGAGCACTCAAGGCTAAAAATTGTATCTCGTCGCCAAGTGGTCGCGATACATAATACACATTAAGCCCGTTGTCTTTTACCTGTTGTGCGGTAACAGGCCCGTATGGATGAGGCCAGACTCATCAACCTAAGTCTTAAGAGATAAAGAGTCTGACCCCTTGGCCATATGTAGAACAAATGCTTTAATATGTAATATAAGAATTACATAATAAATGAATAATAAGTGTAAGTTGTAGTGGTTATTATTATATAATCCCTTGGTGCTGCTATATATTGCTATGACACGTGCCCAATGCTTGCCAACAGTACAAAACAGACATAACTTACACCGGTGAGGCAGCGACGAGCAGGACACAGGAAGTACAGTATCAAAGTATTACCAGGAACTACCAGTACGATGACCAGGATGATATATTCTAAATAAAAATATTACTACGGATTAGATGCATTTACAGAGGGCTGCCAGGCGTCCTGTATATACGGGATTGTCCCTATACAGTACTTTATCCAATTGGCGAAATGGAAAAAAAAAAGAAAGACCAACAAGAACCAACTATACTAGTAATATCGACCTCCACGAATTATTACCAGAACTAGAAGATCAGAAAGAAGATAATGGAGAGCAGAGAAGATAAAAAACAAAGAACAAAAAGACGGGGTCAAAAGAACAAGACTTCGACCGTAATGACCATTGATGTTGACGGCCAGTAACTAATTAAGAAGACAAGAGTATTACACATCTAAGTCATGTTGGGAGAAGACTGATGGATAATATAATTAGGCTAATGCTCTTCTTATTAAAAATGCTCTAGAGAGGCTTCAATAGGTCAATTGTTGTTTACTTGTGAAGGAGAAGAAAATCCAGAGTGTAAAATACACTTAAATCAATATATTGTATTGACAAGGAAACTCAAGCACGAGCATTACAAGGCAAAACAGAATGGTAACTTTAAATTCCTGTTAAACATCCTAAATATTATACCTAACAATAATAACGAAAAACTTACCTGTTGAGTTGAATACATCAGCCACATAAGCTGAGAAAAATACCCAGACAACTCCAAGGGAACTGGGGAAGCAGCTCCGACGCACAGCAGTCTGGGTCAGGAGTAAAACTGACTCTCAGTCGGCTTTTCCCGATCCCAATCCTAAAGGTGGATGGCAGGAATTTAAGGTCCTCTGGAGTTCATTATCGGAACTACAGTAACTAGTCTAATGGCTGTTATGCAAAAAATAGCTAATTAGAATAAATCAACGAAATAAATGTAATTTACATGTCAAATAAATTAGTCAATATATTATATATACAATACAGTACACCTGGATTTATATGAGCACCAATATAATCAATCACCAATACCCGATTCACTGGAACACTCCGTAATCTCAAGTCACCTCAACTAAGGACTCATGACAAGCGACTTCTTGTCATATTAACCCTCTCTGATCTCTCCCTATCTGCAGCCTGCAGATGTATCTCTTTAGTGACCCCATGAGCTAATATAAAGTGTGGTATTAACTTCAGATTGCACTCGAGTTGTACAATATACTGTACCAGAAAATGAGACTTAAAAGTCGACTGAAGTTTATAGAAATAATAATATGACTTTACCGAATCTGTATAGGTGAAAAAGTAACTGGGGATTGTGTTGAATATATGCAGGAGTGAGGATGGCCATTGTGGTTATACTGAGTTTTAGTAGGACTGAGGGAAAGTATTTATACTGTACAGACAGACTTGGGGAATGAGTGAGGATTTTATTGAGGTTCTACAGTAACTGAAGTTGGATTGCAGGAAGGATTTTAGGTTTTACCGAAATTATAATTATACAGTGTAGCATAATCAACAACATTTTATAGCCATTTTCCACACTTGCATGGGTTACTAGGTCACTATGCTGCACGATCTCTTGCATTCTCTCTTGTCAGGTTCTAAACTTTAATGTTATTTGTTATAACCTTTCCTCTTGTCATTCTTGGCCTGCTCTCCTTCCTTCCACATTTAGGTTCATGCACCTCTTGACCCAGTTGATGTAATGCATTCTCGCCACATACCCAAACCATTTTGACCCACCTCTTTGCTGGACTTCGAGTATTTCAATAACATTCACCAAGAAAGTATTGCCATTACAGGCACTCATAAACTCAAGTTAGTTGAGAGTAAAATCTATTACCAATTACAAACATTAAAGACCAACAATTTAGCACACAATATTACTCTCGTAATAAGTTTATCTTAGAACAGGACTAACAGAGGTAAGAGTGCAGAAAGTATACACAAACCTGAAATAGTATATTTTCTTGGGTATATTGCCATACATGTTGTCTATAATAATGAAAGGACATTTCTGTGAGTGTATGTCTATTTGTTCCAGCCATAGCTCCTAAACAGAAGCAGATCAAAAACAAAAAAGGGGAAGAAACTTTCTTCGTGTGTTAAGAGTTCATGCAGAGCAGGAGGAGTAATCTCAGCTGTCTCTCGTGTGTAGTGAAACAATTGACAAATTTTGTTATCCAGCAGCCAGTTATCCAGTAATTGTTTATTTATTGATATTATTTTTATTTATTCCTCACAATTATTGGTATACAGGGTATATTATTGATCTTATTCCTCATAGGAGTTGGTAATTGGAGGGAATTATGTTTCAGAGATGGTAACACTGTTCATAGCGTCAGCTGTTGTGGTGGTGGTCATGGCCAAGACTCTTTGGTGATGTCTTGCTGCAAATATGTCTATGATTATACCAAATATTCTTCAAAAGCTAGGGTCAAATTATAGGTTGATTTAACAATGAATATACGGGAATAGGTTCCACTCCTTCATTATTCTGTATTGTTGTGATGCGGGATGGACTGGCAGGACCATGTGGTCCCCAACCGCATCGTTCCACAACAATAACAATGACTCGCAAAATAACAAGAAATTTTTTAATTTTAAAATAATTTTTCCAAAGATTTGTGTCATTATGTGTACAGTATGTGTCGTTGCTCAGGTGTCCGGTACTCTGGGTGTTTATTGTACAGTACTGCTACCTGTATTATCTCCTTGGCAAGGTAAGGACTATGAGGGGACACTTACTGATTCCACAAATCAGTCGTAAAAATACATACAGGGCACAGTACAGGTGAAAATTCAAAAACATACAAAAATAAATTCCTTTATATATATATATATATATATATAATATCTCTGTACAGTATACAGCTATTGTATCTTCACCTGTAGCTAGTAAAATTATTGTTATATAAAGCTTTACACAGAATATAAAACTATATTATCATCTGACATGGTTGAATGAGATCCTTCATAAAGTAGGAAATTTACAATGCAGCCTTTACTTGAGTTTTACACAATTTACTAAAAAAACAAGTCTCTGAAACCAAAAATAATTGATCTTTTAAATTGTAATCTCGTAAATACTATTTCAACAAGCACTTTTACTGCCTGAACTCAAAACCCCACAGTAAATTAGTATGCAATACACATTCTCTTTGATATGACTTTATAACCCCTAATACACTAAGATATTTTTTTTATACAGTATAAAATTCTATACTGTAGTGCAACATAATTCATCAAGTAACATTTAAATAAGTTCAATAGAGCATGCAGTGTCTAACTTACCACATAACCACACTGAGAATTCATCCATCATCCAGTGAATATTTTGTGAGTATTGTTGAGCACAGGTATCACAGCAGAAGTACATGACAGCTGGCACAACACTCCCTTTTACATGCATCATGGCAGTCACAGTTACAGTCACAACTTTAATGCTGGCAAAGGTAAATATTGGCATCTTACAACTTGGAGTATCACAGTAAGCAACTGGTCCAACTTCTAAGATATCACAAAGACTCAAAGGTAAAAAGTCTGAAGTTAATACAAAAAACTGTTTCCTAGTTTTCCTTCTCTGGATGTCATCTTTTGAGTTTTCTTTCTCGTTCCATATATAACGCAAGCACAGCTCTCTTAAAGAGGGAAGCACTGGAGATCCCTTTTCAGAGGATGTGATTGTAGTTATCTGGGAAGGCAGAACAAGACTGTGGGGATGATCATTCTTGACAGGTCCACTGAGACTGATCAATACAGTATTGTTTATCACAACCTTCTCCTGAAAACACCTGGTAAAGAGATATGAAGCTGTGAGACTATTACCTTTATAATGTTACTTTTCAAATATTACAGTACCATTCATTCTTTTCTTATTACTTAAAACTTCTCTTATTAAAAAATCTGAATAGATATTACCTAGGTACAGTACAGTACAGTACACCCAACAGACAACCTTAGTAGCCCCCTCTATACCTGAAGAAGTAAAAAAAAAAAAAATTCTTCAGGACGAGGAGGTTCAGCTTCTCAAGAGGGATGGGAGCCAGAGGATAAAACCTCACAACCTTTAACTGTTCCCAAATGATTTGCATGTCTGCTCTGGCTGAGGTTTGGTCTCAGATGGTGCACTCATCTGAATTAATATACCACATGGATGAATAATTAGAGGTTGTCTGAAGACACTGAACCCGTTTAGACAGTCTGTATACTGTACTGTATTATAAAAAGCCATGAGGAAAGGGGCATAAGCCAGAGAAGCAAATCTCTCATTAATAATATTTCTAAGTATACTACACTGTACATTAACTGTCAACCAACCTACAAGTCTGGATTACAACTGGGTTCCAAGTTTCACCTGAACGAAGTTGACGAAGTAAAGAAAATGGCAGGTAACTCATTTCAGGATTGTTATCAAAGAATATTCTGAAAAGAAGATATCAATTAATACTCAAAAGTTTATAATTTCTTAAACACAGTTATTAGAAAAACTAGATGGGGGTGTTGAAGGTAACACTTGTGTCACCTATCACCACATCATCCAAGTGTTGCAATAGGCAAAATACGTATTGAGCTTGTTTGTTCAGTGATTTACTACAGCAAGTGTATAAGAGTCTCATATCAGTGACCCTTAAGACTGAACCAATTTTGAGGAATTTCTGGTTTCCTGGATCCTCAATCTATTACACCAGGCCTACCAGAAGACTACATCAAATTTTGTTTCCACACACACAAACTCAGTTGAACATAAGTTTTATTTCTGAAATAACAAAATAAATAAAAAAGTTACTGTATAATCATACTTTAAATAAAAAATACATTAAATATTGTCTATGTAGATGCTAACGCCCAGAGTTTTAATCACCCTCTTCCATTGACGAGGATCGTCGTGATTACAACCAGACTTTAAAGAAATTTGAGTCACGAAGGACACCACACTATAGTAATTGACAGAGAAGTATGGTGGTAGAATGCAGCTAATTCCAATATAATAAATTAATCTTACCGCCAAACCTCCCCCTGTCTGGTTGTATACACAATGAACCCCATCAATGGAAGAGGGTGATTAAAACTCCAGGCATAATAGTTTCCTACAAGTGAATTAAATGGGTATATTGATGGTCCAGAAGTTTCTTGTGAGTTGCCACATTTGAATGAACAGCCTAATAAAATAAATAGATTATCATTATTTATGACTACTGTACAGTATTTGTATTAATGAAATAAGTATTACTGTATTCTTTTCACATAGCTTTTGGCATTCATATTGGTCAAATTAAACCAAAGATTCAAAGTAACTTATGCCAGACACTTCTTCTTGTCACTTGGTCCAGGTGAGAACAGTTAACCAAACAGCATGACCTGGGACTTGTACCTGAGATCCAAAAAGTGAATGAATTTCAAAATTAGATGGTCCTTCACCTTTGTTTGTTTGTACATTTAAGGTTCTTGTATGATACCGTAGGTTAAATTACCGAGTTTTCTTGTCGGTATGACCATGGCTCCAAACCATCATGGGTCTCGATGAGTTAGATAAAAGGAATTGCATTGTAGCCAGCTGGTAATCATACTAACGTCGGTCTACTGATGAATGGAACAGCTGGAAGGTGTGTCAGAGGGTTACAGCAGCAGGAGATTCTTGTTAATATTGGCAGGGCTGCTATTGATCTTGGTAACTCCCTCAACTGATTGTGGTCAACGTATAGTCCCTGCAGGCCAATCAGGCCACTTATTGCCTCCGGTAAATGCAACAAATTGTTCCCACTCAACATCAGGATTGATAAACTCTGCAGTCCACATAGCTCTGTGGAGAAATAATGACACATAGAAAGCAGAAACTTCTCTTACATACTTCTTTATCTAAATACAATACTGTGAAAATACAATCAAAAGTTAGGAAACCTGAAAGCAATAACGCAATAATGTGACTGCTTAATGTAGGAAAGATATTTTTTTTAGTATATGTCGTACTTACAAAAATTTGGAGGTTTGAATCCTGAAATTATATTTTATGACCGAGAACAGAGTGGGTAGGTAACATGTCAATCTAGAGTGTATAACATCCATATACAATAGAGAAACACCTGGAGAGAATGGTTGATTGCTGTTCACAGAGGCAATATGGTCTAAAATATATTCAACATTTATACTCTAATATAATGGAATTGATATTAAGCACATATATAACCAATGAACATATGAAAGACAACATTTTTTAGATAAAGAAAAGATGCCTGGCAGAAGACATCAAAACAAAATCTTGCATCAGCTTCCCAGAACTCTTCTAAAAACTAAACTACCCAGGTTTTATATATACAGTATTGGATTGTATCTGGGACCTGTCAGTTCCTCTCCTCCCTACTGAAGAGAGGTACCTGTACTGTACTATTCATGTCACCACAAGAACATGGGGGTCAGCTTAACCTCTTTACTATGGGGATGCTACTTTTAAAATTCTATTTGGCTAATGCCAGGCAATTATATTTAGCAAAGAGCGGACCCCATACACAGGGGGTTAACTATTGTTATGAAAAAATTAACAGTGCAATATGTTGTGGAGATGGTGTTGACGATCACTTGTACAGTGGAGTACATAAGGATCATAAGTCAAGGGCAGTTCCAATACTTTTTCTTTAATGCAGAATTGTACTCAGGCATTTTTGTATTGCAAAAAGTATTTACTATTGACCTCAGAATATCTCTTAATATCAAGTGCGCATGGCTTCAAAATGGCCTGAAAATGCCCATGATATTGGTCAGATTTCAAAAAAATTTCTGAGGGGGGCTTACAGTGACCCCTCAAAACCCCCAACTGGTGGGCTCACTGCGCTCGCCATGTTCCCCCCACCCACAACTTCTTGGACCCCCCCTTTTGATATTCCTGGATCTGCCCCTGTAAGTGCTTACCTTTCGGAAAACAGGTTATTTGGTTGTAAACTGCCACAAGTGAACGCAATGATGGAAGACGACCCAGTGTAAGTGGTAGGGATGTTAGCTTGTTGTTACCCACATCTAACACTTGTAAAGATGCCACTTCTCCTGTTTGAAATGAAAAAAATAAAAATAAAATAAAATTATGCAGACATATACTGTACAGATATTTATTAAAAAAGTTTAAAGAAATTATGCAGACTTAATGTATACAGATACCATATATAAACTCTATCAGTGGAAAGTTTCTCAGTTAAGGAGAACTGATCCCCTAAGACCCTATGTTCTTTAGGCACCCAAAGCCAGGCAATTCTCATAATACTGTAAATGGTGACATTCTCATGAGTCCCTTATTAATTAATTTTACTTTTCAGTTTTAAGTTTATGTATTCATCATGGCAAAAATTCAACTTCCAGAAAGTAATAGAGTCGTTTATAATCTTTTTATGTTATTCTACCATGGCAATTTGATGTTTGTAATACTCTACAGTACACCTGTACTATGTACAGTAACAGCCAATGTGTTATTTTCAGAAGATAATTTTTATTAATAGATATGCATCGGTAAAGTCATATAATATTACAGTACTTTCATCAAGAATTTTATTGGAAATATTTCCAGCCATTGAGTAAATAAGCTGCTGAGAAAACTGGAAAAATAAAAAAATCTGGAAGCTTTCAGTACCGGTACCAACAGTTCCAGATCTCCGAGGATACACGAGGCTATAGCATAAGTGACTGTACTGTACAGTAGCTAAAACAACTCTGTGCAGGTGGGGGTCGATATGTTCCAAAATTTTACGTGTGACTAGTGACAGCCCTCATATACCACTATTCATCGTCCATGGTCTCATATTGTTTCCCACAAAGTATGCACAGATATTTCTTTTAGCTACTGTACATTAGTCTTAAATCACAAGCAGAATTGAACATTTTGTGAAAAAAAAAAAAACACTTACCTATAGAATCTGGTAAAGAGCGAAGATCATTGCCATTAAGGTAACAATATGCGAGACGTGAGAGGCACCCCAAATTATTTGGCTGTTAGAATAAAAAAGTACTGTACAAGGTTGTATCACCTCAAAAACTAAAATACTCCAATTTGAATAAAACTTAATAATGAAAATACTGTAGTTGAAATATAAAAACAGAAGTACATTTCCTTAAAAGAAATTCATGCAAAATTATGCCTATATTGTATCCATAAATAGATTAAATTTTTAAGTAGATTTATGATGGAGACTGAATGTCCTTGTATTATGTTTACCCTTTGAGGTCGGTAATGGCAACCCGTGGTCATTCAACAGTGGGTGGAGAAGTAACGAAAATTAAAATACAAAAATACATAAATCTTAAAAGACTTTAATCTTATCTGGGGTCGGGGGAAATAAACAAAGAATCACTCTAATCCCATCTGGGAGCCTCCTGGTCATGTGAAACCTACCCCACCAGCATATTTTTCATCCTTGACATTCAAATTCCCCAAAGATTCACAGAATTCAATAGTCAAATCTTGAAGAAAGTCAATACAGTACTGTACCACTAATACAGTATCACTGGTCGTTCTGCATTGTTGCGACATTGTCTTGACTTGCTACCTTCAAAAATGTTCAGTTATCAAATTTTCTTACGGGATAACAGTATCTAAAACTGGTTGACTATCGGTTTTGAGAAATTCTGGGGCTGAAAATGGATTGTGTAAAATCCTAAAGTCTTTTTTCTTTTTTTGGATTTCTGGAGTTTAACCTAACCACACAAGAAAATAGTTCCTGGGAACTCTTTAGTTAAACTTGTAAGACTGTCTACTCAGTAGATGAGTTTCCCAATCCACTGCTTCAATAAAAAATGAAAAGATCAGTCATTAAAAAATAAAATCAAGAACAGTAGAGTACTTTCATTTTGTTTTCCATACAGTACTGAGACTTGTAACATACCAGAGACATCAAAAGGTTGCACTTGAGATAGATCTGCTCAACATGTTGACCTTCTTCCAGAAGTTCTGATGGTAGAGACTTCAAATGTCGATAATTCCAATGCAAATTAGTCTGGCATCGAACTTCTCTGAGCAACTCCTTCCTCTGCAAAATATTTTGAACTTTAAAACCATGATTGAATGAAGTTAACTCAATCTTTGCTATTTTTCATGCTATACGGGGGTCCCCAACTTAAGAACATCCGACTTACGAATGCCCGCTGATACAAATGGGATTAAACTTGAAGTTTACAGTACTGTACTGTATTTTATTTACCAGATGACTTATTTTTTACTTTTATTTACTGTATTTTGTCATCCTATCTCTTCTTTTGTCTTAAATTAAGTGATTTTATATGTATATAAGGACTTAAGCTATGATAGTGGGATTTTAAACATTGTTCTGTAAACACGGTATGTATACACATAGCGTGTGTTCTGACTTGCGCACAAATCCGACTTAAGAACGTCCTCAGGAACGGAACCCGTTCATAACCTGGGGATCCCCTCTATATTGTATAATACTTATAGTGTAATTCAGAACAACAGTAAATTTGGTTTACATATCTAATTTATATTTATCATTCAATTACCTGTTAAGTTTATCCTATATTATTATTAGTATTACAGTACTGTGATAATAGTTAAAAAAAAAAAAGACATCCAGTTGGATTATATGGGCTTCAAGGCTGTTGGATTTATTTAGAATACCGATTTATGCGTAACCTTCCCCTGGGTGCTTTCAGTCATCAGTTTGCTGAAAAATCCCTTCCCCAAATAAAATTAAAGTTAACAGTGTACATTTACATTGTACATACTTATATTGCAGCAGATGAATTTGCATTTTAGGAATTATCAAAACTCCACTGTACAAGAAATCCATATTATTATGGGGCATTAAGCTAAGTGTAATTTTGGCTAATGTATTATTAACCTTTGATTTTATATTCAACATAAATTTCTGTTATCCGGTACAACCCTGAACCAAGGTTGCTGGATGAGAGCCAACCTGTAATGTATTTATCGATGTTTTCCCATTCATACATTTTTTAATATACTATACTGTACTGTATACATTACCTGTTCATCTGAAAACTCATCTGTTGATGGCCTGTTTGATAGTGAGTCACCAGACATCTGAAGTGAAGTACAGGGTATATACGGTACAATAGAGAAGAATTATATACAAAAATATTTTAGTAAAAGGTCAACAATTCCTTAAATTTACAATGTACAAAAATATACACTATCACATTTACGTTATTAAAATTTACTAATGATGGGAGAATGAGTTCTCATACACAAGAAGGAGTGCAATACTGTACCTACTAGCTATTCACTTTAAGTTTACAAATGGGGCCTAAGGTCAGATAGTAGCAAGGTAGCTGATTGGCTGGCAGATGGTCACTACAAGTTCAGTTTTTTAGTATTTAAACTATCGTATTTATATTCTGATACTTAAAGAAAATAATAACTTTCCCGTGTTGATCTCTGATGATTTCTGCCCTTGGGGATGAAAAAATTAAGTTGTGAAATGTGCTTGTGATAAAGATAATATAAAGGGAAGACAAACATGATGAACAAGTTCAGCGCCGGAAACTCCCCCTCGCCTCATGACATCATGCAGCATGGTGGCCAAAAAGGGTGAAGATGTCACTGAAATTCTGTAACCTTACTTGTTCTCTTTATGATATTATGTTATCTGTGTGTTTCACAATGAACATAACCTTTAGTATGTAATGTTGTGCACTTTACTTGACAATGGTTTAGACTTTATCACTGTTTTACTTTTCATCTTTTGAGGTGTTGATGTGATTTGGTGTTAAATTGATGAATGACATTACAGCCTCTGTAGCTGACAGCTGTATGTCTTGTTACCATTAGAGGTCAAGTGAGTGCTGAATGACAAATTATTGATCAATATTTAATCATTGATTAATTCATCCATGTTAAATATTGATCAAGATTAAATATTTTTATTTAAATATTGACTTTGGCATACAATATATTTATTGTTTTATCATTACTACGATACAAGAACAAACTACAAATGACCTTAGTAGGAGAGGATACAATATATTCTCATTATGAACACTCAACTGTATTACAGGTACATGTATGCCCTCTGAGATGTTCATAAACTTCTATAGTATAAGCTAGGCAATTGCAGGTGAACTAATCTCTTTGGGGAACTGAGGTGCCATAGTGCATGCACCTGTCTGGTGGCCCTCCTTTAGACATTGTCAATCAACTGAGTTTCTAGCATTACAAATTTAGGTATATTAACGTTAGTAGCCAGGTTTGGAGTTTCGTTATTTTACGAAATATACTACAGTATGTACTTTAGGATCACGCCAGCCAAAGTTCTCCAGGAAGCTGCACATACTGTCCTGTACATAATACTGTAATTATTTATTTTCAAACTCGTATTAAGCTACATCAAGGATTGACAATAGTAATATTACCTCTGAAGTTCGGTTCAGGAAAGCTGGCAGATAATATCAATAGTGTGTCACCACGTCGTCTGGTAATAAAATTTGCACCATCACACACACTGACACACTGCCTGGGCTGAGGATCATATGTATAAATGTTTACACACACTATGTACTTGTATGTAAAATATAAATCGGACTACCACTATATATATATATATATATATATATATATATATATATATATATATATATATATATATATATATATATATATATATATATATATATATCATGTAAATCCACAATGAAAACGTAGATAAGATAAATCTTGATAAAATCACACGGGAAAATGGAAACAACGGAGCACCTTAGCTTTCGTCTTTGTTCAAGACATCTAGTGATAAAATAATCATCCTCGGTGCTGTGTGTGAGGCGAGGATGTGGCCGGATAACTTTGGAGGTTAGCTCCGTAAAAGACTTCGATAAACAATAATGACGCCCAGCTACAGTATATAGAACTCCTTAACAATAGTAGATTATCAGGGTTAGACAACACCCAAAACCAAAACTATTTATTTATATGAACATACAAAATATACTTGTTTACATTTTATCAAAGTATTTCAATAATATACGAAGATAACTTTATGATTCTTGAACATTGTGCAAAATATACAAGTAAGCATTCAGCCCGGTTATAGACTAGACAGTTCTGACATGTTATAAAGACACAGCCACATATAATATACTCATAGATGCATAGAATAATTTAAAAATTCTTATATTATACCAAAATTCTAATATACAGTCAACTTATTAATAAAGTATCATAAAAAGGACATTGGTTCAGCCGTTTCCCACATCTTCGTATAAGCAATAAAGTCAAACCTCAATAGTATAAAAAAATATACAGTATATACAAAGAGACAGACAGATGCTCTCCTAACCTACTTAGCTTTAGCGTGTGTAATTTGTTCACTATGATAAACAAGAATGACGACTGTACATGACTATTATAATATATGATTATGTCCACAACCATAGAGCCACTACACAGATTTCTATAGACCTACCATTACACACACACACACGGCTACTACTACTGTACTACACATGCCGTCTCAACTCATCAGAATAAAAGGTTGTCAAACTCTATTTTCCTTTTCAGCAGCTCTCTTAATTATATGCCATGTAGTTCAAAGTCAATGTCATCATACAGCAAACAATACACAGGAGTCATGAATTCCATTTTTATAGATGCACTGTTTAATTTGTAGTCTCTCTCCTCTTGTAGCTTCTGTAGTTTTTATCACAAGAAGAAATATTTCAGGAGGTAATAAACGGTGCTTTGGGGTACTAGAATCACTAATGTACTTGTAGTAGTGTTTAAGAAATAGTACTGTATCTATTGCAATGGGTTATTACCACTGTCGGTGTTTCAATGTTTTGATAACACTTCTGTAAATTAATTTGGCATTGTTATGGTCCGATAAACACTCGTACAAGTGAACAAGGTTATGTGATGGTTCAGAAACAGTGTACTCTAGCCTCAACACGGTGCTTCAGTGATCAGAATAAAACATTACGGTAGGTAAACACTTTGGGCAAAGCGTCAAAAAAGTATGGCTAAAATGTAAGTGAAGAAGGTTTTTGGGTGCTGCAAAAACACCACTATTTCGGTGGTTTCAAAACACTACTGTAGGTGAGTATAGTGCTTGGTTGCTTCAAATAATGCTAATGCAGGTGAAGGTGACGTTTCGTTGCTTCAGAAACCGCAACTGTAGATGAATATGGTACTTCAGTGCTTCAGATAACACTACTGTGAATGAATGTGGTGCTTCAGTGCTTTAGAAATATTGCTATAGGCAAATAAGGTACTATGGTGCTTTAAAAACTCTACGGGTAATGAACACAAAGCTTCGATACTTGAACAATCACTACTGTAGGTGATGGAGGAGCTTCAGCGTCTCATCTTCTGTCGGTGAAGGTGAACCTGAGGGAGGAGGAGGGGCCGTAGCTGAGCTTGTTGACTAAGTGAACATCCTCGTACTTGTAGTCCACTTCCATGACGCTCAACACCTGCCAGGGGGAGACACACACACTTGTCTTATAATGAGTTAAAAGAAATAATATCATATACATATAACAGAACATAATTAAGGTTTAGATATTTACATGATACAGGACTCTGATTTACTAAGTTACAAAGCTAATGCACGTGTATTTTTTTCGTGTAATTAGTGCACCTTTAGTAGGATGTACAGGTGTCTAGACAGCACGTCATATAGGTTATCCGAAAAGTTTATACACAAAGGGAAACAAGGATGTTATTGTCACCAACTCACTCTGACAATAAGAGAGAAGATCTCCTGGTATGCTATCCTACGTCCTATACACATCCTGGGGCCGTAGGAGAATGGTAGGAAGGCGAAGTTGTGTCGGGGGGCGAGGTGGGAGCCCCTCAGGAACCTCTCCGGCAAGAACTCGTGGGCGCGAGGGAACACACTCTCCTGGTGGTTCATCAGCATCGTCGGCGCTACCACCTCCCACTATGGTAAGGATGGATGTACATAGGTCAGGGTCTTCCAAGGTTCGTACGTTAAAGTTTACTCCCGAAATGGATAACTGACAAAGTTCTTAGCTGGGTTACTTACGTGCGACACCCTGTGCTTCTTCCCTACTACTGAACATGTTAGGTGTCTCACTGGGAAAAAAATCTAACCTATGAATCTTCTAAAAACCGGACATATTGGTGAGATACAATGATCTACATGTTTGTGGTTGAGATCCATTAAGCGACAATGTTAGTGAACTGAGTTAGTGGTAAAAATATATGGACAGGAGAACCGTTCTTCGTGGTCCTATGGTGAGAGAGAGAGAGAGTACTTACCCCTTTAGGCACGAGGTATCCGCCAAGCACAGTGTCACGGTTTAGTCTTCTCACTATTCCTACGTTGACTGGCATCATCCTGTAATGCCAGAACACACTGAGTTACTGTCATTATCACTGTCACAACACTGTCATCACGAATGTTACTGTTGAGTTACTTTGTGTTACTGACTGTTGAGTTACTTTGTGTTACTGTGATATATTAGGTAGTGTCGCCCCCCACCCGTCATTATTCTTTGCATCTCCAACTTCTCCCTCCCCCCCTCACTACTTCCTTTCCTCATTACTTCCTCTTTCCTTACTAACTCCTCCGTCCTCATCGCCTCCCTCTCTTCACTATCTCCCCCTTCCTCACTACCTCCCCCTTCCTCACTACCCGCCTCTCCTCACCACCTCCCCCTTCCTCACTACCCGCCTCTCCTCACCACCTCCCCTTCCTCACTACCCGCCTCTCCTCCCACCACCTCCCCTTCCCCCCCCTCCTCACCACCTCCCCTCACCTACCCGCCTCTCCTCACCACTCCTCACCACCCGCCTCTCCTCACCACTCTCTCTCCTCACCACCCTCTCCTCCCTCTCCTCACCACCTCCCTCTCCTCACCACTTCCCTCTCCTCACCACCTCCCTCTCCCACCACCTTCCCCTCGTCATCACCTTACCCTCCCACCTGAGGGTCTCCCTGAAGACAGCCTTAGTGTAGGTGAGGCCGCTGAGGTGATCAGGTGTGAGGCGGTCAGGGCTGCCCACCACCTGGTCTATCTCCCGCTGCACCTCTCGCTGTGCCCGTGGGTTCCTCGCCAACAGGTACAGCATGTTGCCCACCGCGTGACTTGTCTGGCCAGGAAAATACAGCAGTGAGAGAGAAACACGCTACTGGCGGTGGGTTCCCGTCATGGTTACATGGCTGGGAGTAAAATGTCACATGAAGATCTGACTTTCTAGCTTATTTCACCTGATGACCAACACCTTTACGTCCAGAGGAGGGCCACCAGACTGGTGTCTCTGGTATCTTGGGAGATTAGAACGCTTACAGTTGTCTAGCTCATACTATAGGTGAGTAAGGGGTGACTTAATACAAGTCTATAACTCTGAAGCCACAACACTAGAGTTTTAATTTACCAGTAATAAAAACAAATATAAGAGCGGCTACATTCATATAGTTTAGTCTTCCCAGCAAAAATCCTAGGCGGCGTTTTGGGCGGGACACCACAGTCAACAAGGAGAGTTGCCAAATTTCACCGCGACTACTGTAGGTTTGAACGTGGAAAAACGTGTCTAAAAACGCTGTTTATGCCTGGAAGCTTGGACCAACCGTCTGACCAACCCATCTTGGCGAAAAGAGAAGATTTACATTTTTTTTCCAGAGACAAAGAGGGATTCGATGGGTGTAGTGTGGAGCCTGCAGTGTAGTGTGGAGCCTGCAGTGTAGTGTGGAGCCTGCAGTGTAGTGTGGAGCCTGCAGTGTAGTGTGGAGCCTGCAGTGTAGTGTGGAGTATGTGGTGTAGTGTGGAGTATGTGGTGTAGTGTGGAGCCTGCAGTGTAGTGTGGAGTATGTGGTGTAGTGTGGAGCCTGCAGTGTAGTGTGGAGTATGTGGTGTAGTGTGGAGCCTGTGGTGTAGTGTGGAGCCTATGGTGTAGTGTGGAGCCTATGGTGTAGTGTGGAGCCTGTGGTGTAGTGTGGAGCCTATGGTGTACTGTAGTGTGTAACCTGATATAATTTATGTGGTAAAAAAATGCTATAATTATATATCTAACCATCTGTGTGTTTGTGTGTGTGTGCGTCATTCCTCGAAACTTCACACAGTTCAGTACAATAACAACACCCCCCTCCCCCACCCTCCCCCCCTCCCCCACCCTCCCCCACCCTCCCCTACCCTCCGCTCCACCATGGTCAGCGGCTATCAGTTGAAGATAATGGGGGAAATATTTATTGTCACCACTAACTCTTATCAACCTTGAACTATTTTTTGTATTATCCACTCATCTCCCGCCAGCTTGAATCCGACAGGCAGATGTGTGTATGTGTGTGTGTGGGGGGAGGGGGGGGGGTGAGGGGTGTGGAGGGGGGGGAGTAAAGTACAGTAATGCCTATTGTACATCGACGTTATTGTACATGGATTTAGGCAGCGTGATCGGGACTGCGCTCGACCACCCTTACTTCCTTAAAATGATCTAAACTTTTCTCTCGGAATTGTCATTTTAGGGGTTTAACTGATTAAGTACTTCCCAAATAACAGACACACAAAAAGATAACACCAAAATCGCACCTCGGAAACCCATAGTTTGCGAGTACTGTAATTGGCAATGAAAAGGGGTCATTAATTGTAAAGTTAGGTATCCGTTTACAGCTGGGTGGACGAGGGGTAGTAGCCCCTTCTTCAACCCAGCGACCCTCAGGTTTAAGAGACAAGTATTACTCACTCGGTCACCACAACCCCATATACAATACATATATCTCGATTCTCTTCATAGTTGTGTATGCTGTGATTCCTTTAAACACATGTTCACTATAGTACTATTTTCACACACCCTACAGTAGACTGCTTCAGGTTCTAGTCAGCGTCTTCTCAGTCCCCCCAAGATTTGCTGATAACTTTTCGTCTTTTTCCGTGTTGTATTTATTGTCTCAGTATCTCTTTTCTGGTTGATGAAATGTTTAACTGGTTGGATCCTTTGTGTTGTTGGGAAGATGTTGGTGTCACTATATTACCGAGAATCAGAATCAGTGTTCTAATTCTTGCGTTATTTTCTCCCCAAAGATGAGAGAACGCCTACAGGTAGTGTACTGTACACCATCGCCCCCAGGTTGGCCATTACTTGGTGTTGCTGGTTAAGTAAGCCAGTTGGATACGCTCTCACATCTTCAGTTACGAGAATATATAAAGTTCCCAGCACGACCCTGTAACACTGTCAAGCTAAGATAAAGTTACGGAGAGCATATTTTACCAGACTATATTTGTTACACAATAGAGTATATTATACGAGGCTGTCAACGTACATTAGTGAATAACACTAAGCAGTTATCTGAGGCAGCTCATATGGTGGCATACAACAGCTTCATCCCAGAGAGGAAAGAGAATTTTAAGTTTCACTCCTTTTCAGGCTCAGTGGAACGTAAATTTGGATGCCGTTAAGGTACGGTTTAAATTATTGCTGTTTCCTCTTTTAACCTTTCACTAGTATTATTTTTCAAGATAATATAATTTCCTTGCAGAGATGTGTTGATATTTAAGAGAAAAATCTGCATGGAAGCTTTATAGTGAGGCGAAAATTTCACCAAAATGTTTTAAATTATGGTAGTGTTTATTTACTCTCGAATGTTTCCACCACAAAATATTATAGAGGTTGCTCCCTTCAGATGTGTGTATATATATATATATATATATATATATATATATATATATATATATATATATATATATATATATATATATATATATATATATATATATATATATATATATATATATAATTACAAAACTAAACTAATCGGTAATTTTGTTTTCAAATATGTTACACTGGTGTGTAAAAAGAAAGATGAGCTACGTATTACTTGTGAAAACTTTTAGCGTTGCTGACGATATTCATGTGAGTATTGGTCTATTAGAGGCGTCATTTTGTACTGTTATTAAACGTTCTAACCTAGCCTAGCCTAGCCTAGCCTAGCCTAACTTAACCTAATCCTCAAGTAGTGTTAGCATGTTTTATGATCAGGTGAAATAACCTAGGGTGCTTCATCTTCACGTGATCCTTAATTTTAACACATTTTGTACTGATCATGAGGATATATATTGTTCATTGAAAAATTAAGAAACTTTTTCTGATATATAACAAATGCTGTCATAACAAAGAGCTGCCCTCTGGCGGCTGGCTACTGAACTATTTAAAGAGAACTCTATATCGTCCTGTGTTATTTTGGGGCCATTACTTTTGTCTCGGTGCTCCGGGCAATTTGTGAGTTTCCAGAACATTGCACAGAGGAAGAGCATAATAGCCGGTGGCATTATAAAAAGGAAACATGGCAGCCAGGAGAATGGGCTACCTGTGACAGCCACCACCATCTATTGGCCGCCCTGCAACTCTGTCCCGTATATGTGTGTGTCGCTGTTTTGGTGTTTGTGTGTGCGTCTATATATATATATATATATATATATATATATATATATATATATATATATATATATATATATATATATATATATATATATATATATATATATACACACGAGTATATTGGTGGTACAGTGGTGACGAACTTCTCGCACGGGTTCTATTCCCGGTTCGGGTTAGATATGAAAAGGGTGTTATCCAGTGTGACCCTACAAACCCCGCAGGTTTATTCTGGGTACAGTACTCAGATTTCCTCCTTTACTAACACTGGACACAGAAGGTCAAACTCACCAGGAACAATGGAAGGATTATACAACCCACCGCTTCCTTTCCCCGTCAAAGCCGTAAATTTAAAGCAAATATATACTTAAAGACGTTAGTTGTAGACGCACAGTGATAACATTATAACGTCAAACAAACTAAGTTGAGAAGCTCCGTCTCCCAGTTATGAGAAGTCCTCGCGCTGGGGGATATCCTACCAACCAACACCTCGCCTCGCCTCCTGTCAACACAACACATCCACTAGTGACTCCGGCAACACAAACATAGACCAACATCTGCTCAACACATTCAGTCATAAACCAGTGAACGTTATTCTGCCTTCTGTACCGCCATACATATAATAAACCCCACCAACATAGGCGTCAATTTCATGACCTCTAAGCGTAAGTCAGGGACTGGTCTATTTATATCTCTTGAACAATTGAGGCTGCCGTCCACAACCGGCCGTCCAATGAAAGGGAATGATTGACCTGTTATCTTCTTTATATACACTATAACATTCCTCCCCCTCCTGTCACACCTTTACCATGACAACACCTGATCGATTCTGGTGTGATTTATGCCAAAAAATTATTATGTGGAGATACTCATCCGACAAAGTTTGGTGCTAATTCGCAAACCAGTTTACAAGTTTTGAGAACATCCAGACCGACAGACAGATAGACAGATAGACAGACAGACAGACAGACAGATAGATAGACAGACAGACAGATAGACAGAGACAGACCGACAGACAGACAGACAGACAGACAAGAGCGAAAGCAATACCCTGGGTCACAGTTGATAGGAGAATAATAATTACTCTCCCTATAACTTAATTATTAACGTATTGGCAACTGAACCTATGTAATATTTATGAACTCAGTGAAAATTGCCAATATTTTCCAAGACCTGACATCCTTTTACTCTCTGAGGCATTAATTCTCCTGCCATATAAAACGAAGAGAGTTTATCGCACATAGTTAATCATTCTTGACGTCAACCACTAGTAGTATCAAGTAATGAGATGCACAGTTTAACAGGAGAAACACAGCCTCCTTAGTGAGAACATACATGGTGAGACTTCTCAGTTGGTTTATATGACACAAGGTACACTGAGCCTCATTGAGACTTACACAATCTTCCCACTGAACGGAAATATGAGATCACGTCAGGTCACCAGCTCACCAAGCGACGTTGAGATTGTCTATGTGTTGTTCTTCATGTGTCTGTGGGAACCTCGGAGTGGGGTGTGGATGGTCGAGAGGTGGAGCGAGTTTGTTTTGTTTTCGCCGAATTAAAGTTTTAGTGCCAAAATGTTTCTGAATTTTCACCCAAGTTTCAATATGATTATTATTCTTAGATATTTAATTGTGTATCAGTATTTGGAGGTTATTGGCCAACATGTGGTGCGAAGCTGATTCTTGATGATGACGATGATGATGATAATGATGATGATTCATGATGATGAAGTAATAATGTCATACTACGCTTCAACTCGTAAGGTTTTTAAGTACTTAGTCGAGGTTAGCGAATACACGAGTCATCATCAATTAAAAATAAAGGAAGATAAATCTCTCTGGTTACTTGTGTTGATGTGTTAACTGTCGTCCACTTACAACAGTCGTCCTTATGAGTGTTTCTGAAGGGTCGTTTGTGTTTGGATATAGATCAAAGGTCAATGCTTGTAGGTCATTAAAAGACCTATACGTTGGCGGGGTATCAGTTATTATTTTCATCTGACGTTTTATAAAGATTTCATGTACAGGCCAGTGCACCGCCTGAGATGTCTGGTGCCGTAAGTCTTCTTTGTCCAGCGTCTAATGTTGATTTATTGACGCTTGGGGTCAGTAAACACAGTTATTTAACCATTAACAAGATGATAACTATGACAAGAGGTTATCTTTTAGAAGACTGTTGTTCATGGCCGACATTTGAGGAAAAAGAAAGCGTTGATACGAAACGATTCCTCTTACCAATGGTCAAAAGAGAAAAACCGTATACGAGTGTAATGATTAATGGCACGATCACTACATCATAGGGGGCAGGGAAGGCAGTGTTAGACTGACTGACCCCCGGCAATTATTATCGTTTAATTAGTAATACTTTTAAGACTAAGCAGGTCATAATGTGGATGGTTTGTCATATGAAACAGCTGTAAGGTTTACTCTGGCAAACACCATGTTTTTCTCATGGTCAGTGTACAGTTCTTATACAAAGCGCCCGTGGCGGTGTGTACTCACCGTGTCGATGCCCGTAGCGATCATGTCGATGAGGAAGGTGAGGACGTCCTCCCTGGAGAGTCCTGGTGTCGCCAATAGTGTTTCCAGTAAGCTTGGTGCCTCTGTCCCACTGGAGGCGATCTCTGAAGGCTGAAGATTCTGGTGGAAAGGGCAAGAGCTGGCGAAGGGATGCGCATGTGTATTACTTAAGGTGTGGCCTCGAATGGGGCGGCAGGCCAGTAGCCTCTCTGTGTCGCGGATGGCCCCCAGAGCCACGCTGACAGAGGTAAACAAAATAGTAGGAATTAGGAGGAATTAATGAAGAAACGGGGAAAAGTCCCAGAATAAAAGTTTTCAGGCAACACATCTTGGCACTTATAATAAAGCTCAATGACGGGAGGCAGGTCAAGTTAAGAGATGATGATGATGATGATGACCAAAGAAAAAGAAGATAAAAGACACACCATAGTGGCAGTAAGACTCACTCCGTAAAGACCTGGTGTGCCTCCTGGAGTCTCCTGATGGAGGCGGTGGGGAAATACTGCCACAGCTTGACGTTCTCTGTCTCATGCAGCGCCCCCAGCAACTGTTTGGCCAGCTGTATGAGGCGCATCGGCCGCGACGAAGGCGACACGTCCTCCTCCAGACAGCCCAGACGACGGTCCAGCGCGATGGTGCCCAGAGCTGCACCACAGTGTTAGGGAGACAAGTTATTCCGCCGCCGAAAACATAAAGCGGATAAATAACTCCAGCATCCCAACTCTTAATGGTTCTCAGTTTTCATTAAGTTCAAGAGGATTAATTTTCACTTACATTGAGAAACTGCTTACCCTTACTGTGTGAATATTATAATGACCTAAGTATAAAACACAGGAACAACCACTAAAAGTCATCGGGGTGGGAGGAGGGGGGTGGGAGGCTAACGAGCAGTTAATGGGGAGAAAGAGGCGATGAAACTGTGGGTGACTGATGTACAGCACAGTACCTCCTACACCAGCCGTGACTCACACTCTAGCGCCCACTTGTACAGCTCGCTGTTGAAGCTCTCTGGAACCTCGTCGTTGTCGTCTCTCATTCGTCGAATCCTGAAATAAACAAAGAAATATTCCTCGCTTTACACAAAGATCTGCTAACATCCATTAAACAAAGATGTCATGAGATCTGTACAGCAGTGGAACACGGACAAACAAACGGAAGATTGTTTATTTTTCAAGTTTTCTTTGCATGCTCGATAGTCTAAATATAATTCTTCAACAGAAATATCTATCTTTTAGCAGTACATAAGAACTCGAGGCCGAGGCAGGAAACACACAGGGAGACCACCAACCTGTCGACGAACTGCTTGGCGACGTCGTCCATCTGAGGCAGGTAGCGGTGGACGATCTGGGGGTTGGTCACGGGCCGTTGTACACACCGCCTCACGCGCCACCACTCCTGCCCCTGCCTGCAGTACCACACTTTGTTACTGTCTTATTAACCCCATCTTAAAGTGTGTGTGTGATGCGAAAGGGAAGAATGTCGTTTATTGACTGGATTCGGTGCACTGTGTGATGCATTCACAGGCGCAAATCACGTGTTGTATGTGAAGAAGGCATGATGAGGCTGCAGACAGGGTTCTTTGATCTCCAACACCGAGTTAATGCACAACTCAGAACAAAACTCTGGTAAATGAAGTAACCACCTCGAACCACACTTACTTTTAGATGTTGTAAATAATAAATAAAATTAGATATGTATTATGCAGTTATTTGGTGACCACTGGTGACCTTTCCGACGAGTCATTTATCTTAATATAAATGATTATTATAGATGAATTAAAAGTTAATCAAAAGTTTCTTCGTATATTCAAGGTGAACTATCGAATGGGATACTAACTTTCGTATGCTTAACTTTGTATGTTGAATAGAAGACAACTAGCAACCCTGAAATAAACTAGCAACCCTAACACCACCATAACTCCCCTCCCACCCCACCCCACCCCTCAACAAGCACCCATCAACACTTACTCAGCCAGTATCCCCGCCTTGCCCTGGAAAAAATGGTCGTGGACGTGGTCATCGCCGTCAGCGCCTCCGTCACTTCTGATTCTCTTAAGGGAGGCCATGCCGGGTCTGAGGGGGTTGTACATGGTAGAACGCATCAGAGTCTCTAGATCCTCCGGCTGTGTGATGAATACCAGGTAAGGGTGACCAGGCATGTCCTTCCTGAAGATAGGACCGAACTCTTGTCTGACGGCTTCCCAGAAGAGGTACACACGCTGAGGGTCGAAGGCTGGTAGGGCGGAGAAACAAGAGGCGAGTCAAGCACAGCGAAACGAACCCTCCATCATTACTAACTGAGGAGAGTAATATTCTTTCATGACAACAATTGTATTTCTTCACTCTTACAGCCCCCTATGAAATTTATGTATGTCAGGTTAGGTAAGTTTAGTTTAGGTTAGGTTAGGTAAGGTAAGGTTAAGTTAGGTTACGTTAGGATAGGTTTAACCATCAGTTGAGGTTGGTAATAAAGTCGTAGTGTCACAGAATAAGAACCTACCATTATAAAGAATAAGTAGAGCGTTGTTTTCAGATATAATTTAGAAATATCGATAAATGAAAGAGAATAGATACAGCATTTATTAATATAGCTGATATGGGCCCAGGACACCCCAGTTCACATCACCCAGGGCACCCCAGTTCACATCACCCAGGGCACCCCAGTTCACATCACCCAGGGCACCCCAGTTCCCGCAGGTTTACAGGCAGGAGTGAAGGTGTTCGAGTGTAGTGGTGGCCATATACTGAAGATACTAACAGTGTGCAGTATCCCCCTAATGGACGGTGAGGCCTGAGGGACATATTCTCACTTGAGATAATAGCCGGTTATAATAAAGGATAACAACAAGGCAGGACTTATGAAGCACCAGTTAAGAAGTTCGTGTCACAGTTTGTTGACGTGCTTCATCTCATCACAGCTCCCACTATCTCTCCTGCACTGAGTCAGCCACCTGCTGTCCCTCACTGACGGCCTACTGTTACTATGTCCTGTTCTCTTTCATCCAGAATTACTTACTTGACCAAACAGCTTATTTTGTTGTACAAGTTTCAGTAAACATTTGGACATACAATTTGTCCGTATAAATTGACGTAAAAATGGGAGGTTCGGTTCCTAGCCGGGCAAGTTAGGCTATATTTGTTGTTTAATTCAAAATATAAAGCAGAGAAACACGGACTAATCATTTGGTTATGCAGAAAGTCAATAAGAACTCAAGCTCAACGATAAATAAAATACATCCTAATTATATTTAAATTCTTAAAAAAAATCAATAATTGTTTTGAATACTGAATGTTTCATTTAATGGCCTGAATAAATAAATAAGTCAATAAATAAATATCAAACAAAGACAGTCGAAAAGCATAGTGCCTCAGCCCTCAATCACTCAATCAAGAGTACCGTCCTCATGTCTGAGGGTTGGTGACCACAGTCCTCTACTGTGAACGTTCTCGGGCTGTTTTTATCAATCTATTGCTGCCATCAGTACAATAGATGACAGGCACGTCGTCAGCTAGACCAGGAGAGGCCACCACCCAGGCCTAGCAACAAGCTGCTCACACACACGAGTCACCTTGAGTCTGAACAACTGCAGTCCAGGAAATTGTTCGGACTCAAGGAGAATTATAATTGGTTAAAAAGTGTTTTGAAATGGTGGAATTAGTGTTGAAGTGACATAAAGTGGTGCCTTAAGAATTATGTATTTTATTCTATTCTTTACTACTCTTTTGCCAAACGTGCAGTACAGTGCATGTAGCGTACCTTCATCGTCTACATGTTTAATTTCTTAGAGAAGGATTAAATACTACTTGTAATAAATGTTTCAGTAAATAAGTTTTTAAAGGTTTAATAAATAAAAAATAAACCAAAATAGTCAATCACATGATAAAATCGTGGCTCCCTTCGCCCTCAATAGATGGCAGCACGAGCAGATACTTCGAATTACTGTTAAGTATTAATAATTAATATTTCATTGCCTCCTGTTAGTTGTTGAAGGCGTCAATACGAGATACACAAACACTCAGGATTGCTGTATACATGTACCTGAGTAGTGTTACAACTTAATTAAAATTAGTTTTATTACGAAGTCTTTACTATCAAAACCAAACCCTCTTAGTGATCAAAGACTCACCCTTGTGTGTCAACATGTAAGGCAGACAGCCCACCATGGGCCAGGAGCGAGGGCCGGGCAGCTGGGAGGCGGGGCGGGGCTGGTGCACGTCACTGGGTATTGCCTCACTGTTGTACATCCTCTCACTCATCATGACTTCCGACTCGAAGATCACGTCAGCATTCTCCTCCATGAGGTTATACGCCTCGAGGTACGGCGTGGCATAAGAGGAGTTGGCACCTGGGGCAGCAACATACGGGGAGTGGGCGGGGTCTCCTAGGTAGGTCGAGGGCGGATATTTGGTGTTGTGAGGGTGACGCTCGGCTGGCTGGTACTGTGACACACCTCTGAGGTGCAGGTCTAGGGCTCTCGACCTCGGAGGTACGATGCCACCTCCCGCGGGCGACGCGCGAGCAATGAGTCTCCAGGCACGCATCTCTGGGAAGGAAACAAGTTGATTATTTAAGTTAGAGTCGCCCACTGAAGCCTTGTCGCCTCTCCTGCTGCTCCACGAACCCCGAGATTAAGACTCGTAAATCCGAATCATTTATGGATAGAATAATGCATCGGTATGCTTTGGGATGACGAGTCTGAATCTCGGGGTTCGTGATTTAGAAGGAGAGGCGACATGACTTTTGTGTGTGACTGTGTAGTCATACAAGTTCCTGATAACAACAAGGAGGATGATTGTGATTTATGTTAGAATTGTCGTGATCTGTGAATATAGGTCAATACTACCTCAAGTTAACCTGATATGCACACACACACACACACACACACACACACACAGAGTACAGTGACAGTCTCAATTCTCCCTGATCATCACCATGACCTCATCTGTCAGTCTGGGACGAAGCACACCGTCCTCACCCACCGTCTCCTCTTACCACCTACTGAATTGTTGCTCTTCGACACCATAACCGCATCCACCTCACACATCCATACACTTTAATTATTAGTATAACGTAACATATAACTCGTACACAACAAGATAGAGAATGTTCCCAGAGTCAATGTTATCACGAGTACTATATAACACCGTACTCTTCAGCCATGACTCCTCGTGACCCGGGTATCGCGAGACTCAGGTCATATTAGATATCACCGCAAGTGTACCATATGAAGTAGATAAGGAAAACACTACGATGGTAAGTTGTTGACGGGTAGTGAGGTGTAAAGTGAGGGATAGAGCTTGCGCGCGCGTGTGTAATGATAATAATAATGATAATAATAATAATTAACGGTTTATTGAAAGAGCTTGGCAGCCAGAAGGCTGAAAATATACAGTTACATAATTGGGGAATGGGTTTAGAATTACAGATAATATACAAATAACATAAGTGATATAAATAAGATATATAATAACTAGGTGGGGAAAAGCTCAAACTACAGGGCATTTCAACATAGTGACAGTGCAAGAAGTAGTGTTTACTGGGAGTGAATACACTGGTTTATTACAAGTTATTGATAATTTTTACAATGGTTGGGACTGGGCTGTTCTTATAGCGATCAGTTCGTGCACGTATGGGCTGGATGCGGTTGTGGTGTCGAACAGCAATTCTCGGGCGAGGGATCTCAGGTGGTAGTAGGAGCCGGTGTCGAGGATGGTGTGTGTGTGTGTGTGTGTGTGTGTGTATGTTACTTTATATTCCCTGTTCAGTATATGGTACAACTACTACTACTACTACTTTTTTTAAACGTGGCCTCCAGCCTCCCCCAATAGCCACACCTTCGTCGTCATTTTATTACCTTAAAATCAAATATCCTAACACAAAAGTAGCTATCCTAGCTGTGTTGAGTTAGTTGAGCCGCAGATCTATGCGGCATTCAGTAACTGTTGCCTCATAGTCAATATCTGCGACAGTTGTCGGCTTTGGGGCAGAAGATCTCGTTCCATTGAGGCAAAGCAAAGCAGACCTAAGCAGAGAGAAAGAAAGTCGACATCTCAACCAGGCTGTAACGTAACTTCTGGGCTGCTGCTTCCGTTCCGATAACACCTCCGCAAGTCTGGTATAGAAACATCTTGCACTTGGTCTCATCCCACCAGAGGTAGTGAACACCAGAGGAGTGAAGCTGCCCTGATCAACATTCAGAATTCTCTCCCCGTATGCCCTGACCTTGTCATTCTCGTTCCTCCTGTGTGCAGCATCGAGAGCTAGGTTACGGTGACATGAGGCCATAGGATCGAAAATCCTTATGTCAAAGAAGGCAGGTTGTCACTGCGTCCAGAATCCTTGAGCACCGACGTCCACACGGGCTTCGTTGGATGTGTTTGAAGCCCTGTGACGGAGGTTCTCACAATCTAATAGTTGGGGCCTTAGGGGATCGGTTTTTCCCTGACATCATGACAGATTTCCTTCAGTAAATTTGCTGTGAGATTCCTTACTTCGTCACGCCTCATGCATACGAAGCCCCTTTTCTTGCACACCTACGTGGTCAATGTCGTAGGAAGAGCCACATACGCATTGAGAGGGCAAACCTTCTACTGGCCTACCGTACCTTAGAGCAATAAAATAATAATAATAATACAAAGTCCATGTTTACTGGTGAATATTATATAACACAAGGGTACGGTACTAATGAGTCATTATGTGTTTTACAATCGTATTTCAGCTTCATGTGTCTAGGATCCATCTCTGCCAGCGCCCGGGAGAGACATTTCGGCTCCCACAGTTATAAGGCCTGAATGACCTGCTATCATGATGTGTGTCTCAGCTGTTACGGCTATGGAGTCCACAGTGATGAGACACACAGATTTAGCACGAGTGAGAGAAGCTTTTTTTTTCCTAGTTGGAGCTATGAGGAAGGACCTGACTGGCTCCTTTATGTTTATCCACCATGGCAGAAGCAAAAGATGAATCACAGCTGCACTAACGTCTTGCTTCATTCTCATGGACCAAGTTGTAAAACCCTATACAAGTCCTTGACAATAATGACCTATAGATAAGAACAGTTCACCTGCACCAAGTTGTTGCATCACCCGACAATCATTCTTATCGTGGAGATAACTTTACATTTTTATTACCTCTATTGTCTTCTACTTTCGGGGAACTTGAAAGATTGAGAGACATAGACTAGAGGTGGTCATCCCACCAGCTGAACCTCCTATGTAAAATACTGTGACGTTAGGTAGTGGGCAGCTACCAAACAGGGAGGTACTACCGCCTGGGAAGATATTGGAAGCATAATGTATTGTCTAATGGTAGACCCTCCAGCCATATGGCATCACGAAAATTGTGACCAAGTCCCAGGTTGCTTATCTGACTTTCTGCCTCATTTACAGGGTCTCAATTGTTTCTCTTACTATTGACAACACAACATACAGTACATACTGTATATAATTTCTCATCTTGAATTATTATTATTATTATTATTATTATTATTATTATTATTATTATTATTATTATTATTATTATTATTATTATTATTATTATTATTATTATTATTATTAATTGTTATAAATTTTACCTTGTCTATACAGTTATGAACAAAGTCCTCCTTTAACAAACTATAAGAACCATTAAGTACTCTCCACATAACACGAATTACAGGTATTGACAATTGGTCTCTAAGACACCTGAGGCTGAAGCGTTATCAGCCAAGCTTTAGTGTAACCCAAATACACCTGACGTTCAGTATCACACACAGGCTGTGACTGTTACCTCCCTACCCCTCTCTCTCTCTCCTATCTACACTAGTCAACAAGATTGGGCTTTACGTCAACTTTCCGATGATAGATTGTGAAACTAGTACTACCTGTAAATGATACGGCTATACTACCTGAACACCACCTCCTCTTATATCGTCTCTGCTGCAGTCGGTCCAACACAGACTGTTTGTTGTCCTGATTCAAAACGTTGACTTTACTCTAACTAACATCGGTGAGTCATATCCTCTTGGTCTTAACCTAACCTAACACATATAAGAAAGCCCAGGTACTCAGTTAATCCTGTCACTCACTCTACCCTGTCACTCAGTCTACCCTGTCACTCACTCTACCCTGTCACTCACTCTACCCTGTCACTCACTCTACCCTGTCACCGGTTTAACCCCTGGCACTCCTGCTTGGCACTCCACATAACCCCAGCTCACCTGTGGCACTCACACCAACCCTGGCACTCCTCTTGGCTCCTGGGCACTCCTGCTTCGGCACTCCTGGCCCAGCATCACCTGCGCTCCACACTTCGCTCCAGCCTCTGCCCTGGCACCTGCTCCCACATAACCCTGGCACTCCACGCCAGCCAGCCTCCACCCTGGCACTCACATAACCCTGGCATACTGCCCTGCACTCACCAACCCTGGCACTCCACCAGCAGCACTCCTGCCTGGCACTCACATAGCCCTGGCACTCCTACCTGGCCCGCAACCTGGCACTCACATACCTGGCACTCACACCCTGGCACTCCTGCCCTGGCACTCCTACCTGGCACTCACATAAGCCCTGGCACTCCACATAACCCTGGCACTCACACCAGCACTCACATAACCCTGGCACTCCTGCTTCCACCAACCTTGCCACTCCCACATAACCCTGTCCTCACCTCTCAGCACTCCACTGTAGCACTCCTGGCTGGCACTCACATAATCCTGGCCTCCTAACCCTGGCACTCACATAACCCTGGCACTCACACCAGCCCCGCTCACATAACCCCAGCACTCACATACCGCCACAGCACTCACACCACCCTGGCACTCACATAACCCCGGCACTCAGTCAAGGTTAGGTGCCAAAAAAACTGGACCAAACTATCAGCTTGTGACACACACGTTATCTCTTACTGATAATAATATTGTACTGTCTTGTTGATAGTGGCAGTGTATCACCAACGTCTTATTAGAAACAGTGTGACATGTCAGGTGTACAACTGGAGTTCATGTAATAAGTTAAGATAGTCATTATTCCCTCTAACAATAACTGGTTTTCAGTCTCTCTCTCTCTCTCTCTCTCTCTCTCTCTCTCTCTCTCTCTCTCTCTCTCTCTCTCTCTCTCTCTCTCTCCATCTTCATTTCCATCTCTCCGTCCCTCTCTTTCCTCTCCCTCCTTCCCACCCTCCCTCCCCCCCTTTTCTGTTCCTCCTTCCCTCCTCCCTTCTTCCCAGCCCTTCTATCTCCCTTCGTCTGTACCTCCTTCCTCCTTCCTACCCACCATTTCTCTGTTCCTTTTAATACCCTCCTCCTTCCTCCCCTCTGTCCATTTGTCACGTTATTCAACACCCCTCCACCCCCTCCACCCACCCCCCTCCACCCCCCACCCCCACAACACCGAAACTAATAACCCCCTTTGCTGTGGGGGGTGGTGCGAAGACAAAGTGGTGTTTGATGTGCATCGTGTTTCACTACTAGGAAAACAGAATAGTGGTGATGGTGGTTGCTGTTGGTGGTGAGTAATGTGTTTTGGTAATGGAGGTGGTGGTGAAAGGAGGAGGTAGTGGCGGCAGTTGTGGTGGTGGTTATGGTGGCGGTGGCAGTGATGGGGAAAGGAGGAGGAGGAGAAGGACAGGTGGGTTCCTGCTTGTTTGTTGTCTTACTGCACATAGTTAATTCTAATACATTTTAATCTACAGTATAAGTTAACTATAAATGGTACAAGAGGAATAATGGCTGTAATTTCCTGCGGTTGTAGTTTGATGGACGCGTGTGGTACTTACTGTGTGGTCAAGTCCCCGTCCTTCCAATTACTTTAACACGATCAGATCACCGGTACGTACACTTCAGACCCCTGCCACGTACACGAACGGACCTCATGTAAAGTCTCGATGCGCAGCTTTAAGAAAATCACCGTCGCAGCTCAGTCCTTGGAGCGCAACTTGCAGTCGTTGCCAGGAAGAGCAGTCTGCGAGCGCAATTTGTGGACGCAACCTGATAGCGCAATCTGTGAGCGCACTGAACACAACTTGCGTCAAGTGCGCCGCAAGATACACTAGACTCCCGCCCTGAGAACCTGGATATATGTACGAGCCTGACGCGCGGGGCAAGACAGTGTCATCCCCCAGCCTCCTTAGCTCAAGTACAGACTGACTCGAGAGTTTCAGCGCTATCAGTGGTAATGTTCCTCTGCCTTATCTTCCCTGGTCTGAGACGTTGGTGATTACTGGACACTGTAAGCAGTAATCACAAGTCCCATACGGTCGTTATCTACACAGTGCTGCCCCTGGCGATAACCCTGACGTCGGATTCTCTACAGTACAGATACAGACTAAGAAAACTGACTTAACATTCCCTTGGGTGATGTAGAGAGAGGGACGACACGATAGAAGTGTGTAAGTGGAAATTGGGGTTATATTAAGGTCATATAATTGAAGTACTTAAACTGTCAGATCAGGAAGGAAACAGTAGACAATTTTAGATTTGGAATGAGCTGTGATGAGTCGAACAAGCTACCAAACATCATCATTAACTTGAAGTCGCTGAGAAGCTTTAAATGGACTGTTAGGTTGGACAGATATATGAGTGATAGGAGCTGAGTGTTAAGAGGGCTGCCTGGTATGGACCAATAGGCCCCTCTTTCACTCTTATTTCTTCAGCTTAGTGCGATGAACAGTGCAATATTTATAGACCAAGGTATGTTTGACTGCAGCTAAAACACAAACATTACCTCCAAATAATATAAATAATAACACTGACACTCTATCTTGATTAAACACGTTCACTTAACACAAGAAATGAGACTCGATTATGTAGTGAATAGAGGGGAATATTATCAGTGTTGTCTCGCGGCTGGTGATCTGTGGACGTCCGGAGTAAATTCCACGAACGTGTCGCGGCGTGGGTGGAGACAGGAACGCCAGGCTTTGTTGACTGCTCGTGTTGACGCTGCTGTTTTTTGGTACCAGTTTAAATTTTTGACTCCTACCACAACCACAATACAAGGGCGTAAGAGAGGTCATACACTGTTTCCATTTGCTATAAAGAGAAGCCTTAGTATCGAACCGCTGGGCCTTACAGTTACCATACAAGAGCGGCGTTGGTAGTGATGTCAGGGGGCGCACACACTATCCTAGTTGCTGTCTCATCCCCGATAACCTACAAACACGCACAGGGTCAACCATGGTGCAGATTCTCAGAAACTTGGCGGCCAGTTTTTCCCCGTAACTGTAAGGACGCGTCTGACTGACTCATTTCACCTACAACATAATGGTGAGTTCTCGTAGACTATTAAGGCAACATAACATAGTCTCAGTGGCTCTTAAGATAACTTCCCCAAATAACTTGACATTTGAGTACCATATACCATTACTTCTATAACAGTCTTAAGTAGTTACATGTTAAGGTGTACACTCTTAACTTTCAGTACATCTATGAAACCTTTGTTCTGATATTCGTACTCATGAAGACGTTGTAGTTATAATGTTATCACTGTGCTTCAACAACTAAGGTCTTTAGGAGTGTAACAAGGTGAGTAATATACTAGTGCAGCAACAATTAAAACTTACGAGAGATATTATACCGTAAAATTTTATCTCGGTGAGGTGTGTGCGTGTGTGTGTGTGTGTGTGTGTGTGTGTGTGTGTGTGTGTGTGTGTGTGCGTGTGTGTGTGTGTGTGTGTGTGTGTGTGTGTGTGTGTGTGTGTGTGTGTGTGCGTGTGTGTGTGTGTGTGTGTGTGTGTGTGTGTGCGTGTGTGTGTGTGTGTGTGTGTGTGTGCGTGTGTGTGTGTGGGGAGATTATAAACACCATAACTCTGGTGACCATGTATTGGTGGAGTGTGCCTTAACCACCATGCCAGACAACCTCTACCGTCTATTTTTTAACATTATCATCGTCAGAATTACGATCCATTAATTTTAGTAGTGGGATGGGAGAGTGTGGGAGGGTGGGGGGTGTGAGCAGGTGTGGGAGGGCGTGGCAGGGGTGTGGGAGGGTGGGGTGGCAGGTGTGGGAGGGGGTGGGGGTGTGACAGGTGTGGGAGGGCGTGGCAGGGTGTGGGAGGGGTGGGGGGGGGGTGTGACAGGTGTGGGAGGGGGCGTGGCAGGGTGTGGGAGGGTGGGGGGTGTGACAGGTGTGGGAGGGGCGTGGCAGGGGTGTGGGAGGGGGTGGGGGGGGTGTGACAGGTGTGGGAGGGCGTGGCAGGGTGTGGGAGGTGGGGGGGTGTGACAGGTGTGGGAGGCGTGGCAGGAGGGTGTGGGAGGGTGGGGGGTGTGACAGGTGTGGGAGGGCGTGGCAGGGTGTGGGAGGGGTGGAGGGACAGGTGTGGGAGGGCGTGGCAGGGGTGTGGGGAGGGGTGGGGGTGTGACAGGTGTGGGAGGGGCGTGGCAGGGTGTGGGAGGGGGGGTGGGGGGGGTGTGACAGGTGTGGGAGGGGCGTGGTGGGGTGTGGGGAGGGTGGGGGGGTGACAGGTGTGGGAGGGGCGTGGCAGGGTGGCCTGGGAGGGGGTGGGAAGTGTGACAGGTGTGGAGGGCGTGGCAGGGTGTGGGAGGGTGGAGGTGTGACCCCAGGTGTGGGAGGGCGTGGTGGTGTGGGAGGGATGGGGGTGACAGGTGTGGGAGGGCGTGGCAGGGTGTGGGAGGGGGTGGGGGGGTGTGACAGGTGTGGGAGGGCGTGGCAGGGTGTGGGAGGGTATGTGGGAGGGGGTATACTTTGCTCTCAGTGTTTCGCTTGAACATGTCACGGATTACCTGAAAATTAGGTTAGGTTAGATTAAGTAAGTTTAGGTCAGGTTAAGTTAGTGTGGTTAATCTTAAGGTAAAATAAGCTATGTAGGCTAATTACCATAAAAAAAATGTATATACAGTAGTTATGTTATGGTTACCTTTATGCCGCTACGCTAACCACCTGTAGTTTAAGAGGTGTATTCCTGCACTTAACATTATCTTGGCCTTCAGCTCAGCCCGTCGGTAGCAACTGATAACTCCTTTGGTATTTCAGGAATTTCAAGATTCAGTGATATATTAAGTTTCGGATCACCTGAAGATTAGCTTCCCTTCCACCCCCAAGCTTATTTCACCTTAGTAACTGATCTGACGCTGAGCTTAAGAAGGTTAAACTAAGCTAATCTAACCTAACCTAACCTAACCTAACTAAACACCAAGCTAACCAAACCAAACCTAACCCCACCTAACTTTAATCTAATCAGATTCATTGTAGGATCTTTGGGAGCGAATAAAACCCTCACCAATATACTTATTTGCTCAGCCTTTTATCACTGGTTCCATCAACTCACAGCCCGCCCCGCCCGTGTTTGTCCAGCCGCGTCACAAACTCTAAAGAGTGAAGAATGTGGTGTATTGTTGCAGTAATTACAACCAACGGGCTCTAGTGTCTGTTGAGCAACACACCCGAGCCCCTTGTACTGTACCAGGGCGAGGAAGTGTGTCTGTTGTCGGGTTTTTTCCCTTATGGATACACCCAGGTTTAATAGTATCCAAGAATGGGCTGTCATTCATCGTGAGAGTCTTATAGCCGCATTTGTTTCTCCTGACAAAACAGTTTTAATAAGCAGCCGAACAGTTATCGTGTCTTCAGCATTGACAACAGCTTAAGTAATGAAATCTGGTACATTAGTCATCCTTGTGTGATGGATTATGCCACGACAGCTAATCAGTTTTAGTCTCCACCAGCTTCTTCCCCTCTGGACGTACAGCACATCGCCCGGTGATACTTGCTGAAGGTGTTGGCTCGCCTTGTGTCCCGCCGACGTCTCATCTTCTTCCTGGTCACCAGTACTGTATTATGGTTTTTTTTTTTGTGCCAGTAGGTGTAACTCGTGTTTTCCGTGTACAGTATGGCCCACTGGCAAATCTTGTGATATTTTGTACCAAGAGTCCAGATCTTAGATGCTGAATTGACAGGTTGTGTCGGTGATGACTTTAGACTCTCATGTCATCACCAACACAACCTACCCATTCAATACAACATTACTTACTGGTACTCGCCGGTGGTCGAATATGCCAAGAAAAGGGTCTGTTCCCACCAGGAGGCGGGACTTACGGGAGGGCTGCTGAAGGCCGCCACCACATACAACGTAAACAGTGTTTGCCGCACACCGATGATACAGTACTTACGAACTTTGGGATTCTTTGGTTATCGTCCAAATGTCGGCACCTATAGTACAAGATTTCCTAAACGTCTATAATTTCATATATATACAATATATTCTATATATCTTACTTTCATTGAGTCACATGGTACAAATACATGATAATTTCTTATATAACTGGTCAAATAATAACATTTAAAATTTTGCTGTACGTTGTCAAGACTGACTCCATTGAGAAGAGTGCAAGTCAGGCCACCCAACGACCTTAGGACGGTTATGTTCACTGCCCAACAGTCTGTCACCACCGTCACACGTATATGAGGATATATTACATGTCTACCAAATTCTTAACGTGCGTCAAGTGGTGGTATTCGGGTCACTGGGTACACTTATCAGGCGGCGAAATGACTTGCCACATCACTACTTGTTTATCACTTTGTTGTCCCCGACCTATTTTATGTAAGTTAACGGTCAAATGTGTAAGGAGAGCCGCACAACTGTAACAAAGTCAGATATGAAAAAAAAAAAACTTTCTATGTAAGAAATAAATCAACATAATATTCTAAACATAACTCAAATAATAAGACCTGTGAAATTTAGTGTAACTCCTCTCATACGGGAAGGCTTGAGGGCAGCACATATGCAATAGGAGTCATAGGTTCTGGGAGGTCCTGATCACTGAGCTGGTACTAACGAGGAACAGCAGAGGAACATAGGAGGAGTTGATAAGGGGAAGAATATGGGTAACACTGCGACGTGCGCTCTGTCACTCAGCCGTGTCAATATTGTTATGATTATCGACTGTATCTGCATTTGTATGGCTAAATAAACTGTACTCACTGAATGTCGTGTTAAATGTCTCTGTAATTATGATATTGGATCACCTGAAGATTAGTCCCCCAGGTTATTTCACATGAAGATTAACTACTGAAACACTATCTAGGGTTAATTAGGTTACGTTTGGTTAGCCTTCGGGTGAACTAAGCTTGGGGT